ACGTAGGCCGATGATTACATCTCCCGGATACAAATTGAATACATCCTAGCTGAATTACTGTAGATTTTGGAGTTTTTGTTTGCTATCTAGTAGGAAGGCAGGTTGGAGTCCATATACTTTAATGAATTTGTTTTGGGGTGGGAGAGTCGTATTTGAAGATTGTTCGGGCTGTTTGGGAATGCTTTGTGACTATGATGATCCTTAAGGCTCTCTATTGGATTTCTGTGGGGAAAAGAATTTCTTTCTGTAAGACCTCTATAAATTTAGCACTCTGTCGTGCATGAAATTAGTAAATACAGTATGAAAGTTTATGCATATATGGGCATGTGTGCAGCTTGAACTGGTGCCACACGACGTAAGATTAAAGAATGTGATGAAATTAAAACTCATAATACATGTATTTTGGTAAAGTTATCATGGATGAAATCAAAATTTGTCATTGAGAACATTGTGCAATTTCTGTTGTCATCCGAGTGCGTTGAGAACTTTTATTTTGGCAGCGAGGAGGAATCTACTCACTGTCCATGCTAGATAGCATTGGATAAAGATCAGTAAGTGCTAGTGGTAATTATAACTATTTCAATAACCACTAAGCTGAAGCCCAATCATCGTGGCGACGTGCCAGAAAAACTGCTGACAGGAAAGACCTTGCTTGTTCTTAAACTGGACATTGTTTAGCTCGTATATCTATTCTGAGAAGAGGATTGAAGTTGTTATATACTCGGAAAACTAGCTGAGAAGAGAGACAGATTCAAAACTGACCAAAAATAGCGAAGGTTCTGAAACCATCATCTGGCAGAGAAATGCAGAGTCCTCTTTCTACTTGATCACAATATGTGCACAAACAATGCTTACTTGATTTAAGAAATTTATGTGTTGATATTTGTCTATTCATCACTCAAAACTTTCTATGTAACTTAATATCATTTTTGTATTTTCAAACCAAACGAGCCCCCCTTTTCATCGATGAACATGCATTGGTAGATTCGCTATACTGAGCAAATAATCGCTTTGCGACATGCTGCGTTTGGAACGCCAACAATATTGTAGGAATTTCTCATCCAACATGATTGTCGAACAGAAAACAAAGTCGTCAAAATGATTCGTGTGCCAAAACCTCGAAGAGTAGTACGTATACAAAAAAATTACGCGGCCAGACAATACTACATCTCTAAGCTCTCGAAAGGTACGGAATCCTTGCATATCCGCACCGATGTCTAACCGGCGTGAAGAAATCTCTTTCCATTCTCTGAGAATCTGTCTCGTCACTCGGAGAGTCTCCAGTTCCACTAGTATACCGTTGAGATGTGCGAATTTGTGTTTAGTTGTATTTTGGGAACCAACACACTCTCGAAGTATGGAGGATCGAGGTATAAGCTCCCATGCTAATCTGTACCATGATGCTTTTGGGAGTTCATAGCATGGATCGTTGAGTCTGGTCAGATCCTTTTGGATCAATCTTGTCTCGATGAGATCAGATAGATCATCGATGAGATATTTGTCGGCTAGGATTGCAAGGTTCATGAGAGTTTTTGAGCGAGTCTGCTGTCCCTTGACGGTGAAGGTTATTGGTGCCTCTTGAGGGACATCGAATACCCAATGCATGAGAATTGAGAAAGCTTCGAGATCGTCATCAGGTAGGGTACATGACTTTGTGCTAGCTTCAAGCCATCCGTGGTTGAACATGGCGTTGAAAAAGGAGACTTTGCGACATAAAGCGCCTTTAAGTACGTTGAATCCTGTAGCTTTAGAGCCTCCGCCTACTTGAATGCTGACCATGTCGTCTTCAAGATCACTATCTTATAGTCAGTAGATGTTTTTAATTCAAATGTATGAACATGAAGTAAATCTGGGAAACATACTAATTGCAATCTAATTGATTCTTCGCCAGCTGCTGCTCAACAATTTCCTGAGAATCGATTGACTTTTTGCTTGATCGTAAGATCAGCTGTCGGAACATAGCTGGGCCTAATATATATGCGTTGGGTGTTTTATCTGCGGTATTCATTGTATAATATTCTCTGCAGGTTGCAGAAAATTTGAATTTAGAGATAAGTCTATGAGACTGTGTGGTGAAGAGAATATAGGTTTGGAGAGCTTTGGTAATGTATCGAGAGAATCTTCCTTGAGAAGTAGATTGTCCAATCTGTGATTTTGTATGTATATTTTGAAAAGAGGTGAGTGAGACGGTGTTAGACTTCCTTAATATAACAAATGCTATAGCCATTACATCATCACAGTACGGAAGAATCGGCTGTGCGCAAGAAGAAATGCGAAGGGGCATCATGGCGTACTCCCGTAGGTAGAACTGATTGAAATGATTATGGACCTGAGTCGAGCTTGCAGTACCCTCTTAAGTACCGTAATATCTTCTACTTTCTTAAGCCACAGAATCCAAAAACAGAGGGGTCACATACCATGGTACAAGCTGTACGTGATAAGTAGTGGTTTCTTCAAGCGACAGGTAAGGAGTGATTACTCCTAAAAACTATATGTCATACTCAAAGTCACTAGTGTAGATACCTTCGTTTTAGGTGAATTGAGGGCTTTATGAAAAGCTCTATGTAGGTCCGTATATATATATATATATATTCCAGAATATTTTCCTGCGTTTGGTCATTAAGGATGAATGTCTAGTCAGGAAGAACATACAAAAGTATTAGACTACCATGTACAAATGACATGCAGCAAGCAAAATTATGGTTAATTTGAGTAAAATGACTTCTTATTGAGTTCAAAGTCATCTGAAAAGTCCCTAGTGACCAACAACATTTCCATCACAGCATATGATTATCAGAACTATACTGTGTATTTTGAGCAAACTTGTTAGGAATGATAATTAGCCGTACCTCCTCGTCAGATTTGAGTACTAGACTTCAACCAAATCTATAAGAAACTCGCTGAAATGTACTACAGCCATGCTGAGACGTACGAATTGAACGAGTCTGCACCGTATCTTTCAAAGAAGTATGTATATATGCATCTTTAATCATCGTCTTAGAACCTCCTTTCTTGAACATCTAACAATCTTTCTTTATAAGATCATAAGAAGCAAGACGTTACTTGAAACCTCCACTTCATCTTGTTCGACACAAAGAATTCTTAACTTTCAGTCCTTCATATACTTCTGAAGTATAATTTTCAACCTGAACTAACATCGACTCTAAATCCAACTACAATCACCGTTATGACTTCGCCACGCCCAATCAAGTTAGAGCCAGAGGAGATAGAACCGGCAACCAAGAAAGTCACGGGTAACGAGTACTGGATAGAGTAAGCATTCAATATATGAGTCAATGAAAAAGCTTGCTCACATCTTATAGCGCAATCGGCACCAGAATTGTGCGCCTTGAGGTCGGCACAGGTTTCGATCAAGTAGTCTTCAACGTCCATAAGGCAATACTTTGCAACAAGATCGCATTTTTTGATAAAATGTTCAATGGAAAATTCTTGGAAGGCATAACTCATTGTGCCAAGATGCCCGAGGACAACATCGAAGCCTTCAAACTAATGCTCGGCTGGGTATACGGTGGAGCCATCGAGCCAGAAATCGGTCTTACCTTTGCAGATGGTAATTCGGCCAGCACACCACTCTTAGAGCTGCTGATACTCGCGGAAAAATACGACATTAACCCACTTGTTGATGTCACGATGGATTACCTGATCAATCTCCTCCAAGAGAAGAGAATAATCATTGGCGAGTCCCTGTGGGTGTATACATATAAGCATACACGCCAAACATCGAAGCTTCGATTATTCTTCACGAGATTGGCCATCTACGCGATGCGCTTCAAGGATGGAGAATTTACGAGTAATCCTAGATTCTGGACACTGAAAGAGATACACTCGATATTAGCGCAGAATTCAGAGATACTCATGGATTATCTCGCTTTGACTCAAGGGGTAAAGCTCCAAGAAGATCCATTGATAGCACCACCTTGCGACTACCATCGCCACGCGGCTAACGAGGAATGCCCACATAAGCCGAAGAAAATCGCCCACTTTACCAAGGAGAGTGGAAATAGGCCGAGCGACCTGAATAGCTTATGAAATGTACTTACATGCAGGTAAATACACTGCGCTGCAAAAACAAAATTAAGATTGCAAGACAATGGGTGTATATCAGATCGTTTCAACTATGGTAGAAGCATTTGAGTCATGTAATTGGGCATCTGCGGGGAGTTTTGATAAAAGACCTGGGCTTGAGTATATGGCGTAAGGCACAAAATATTTGTGGATTTATGTGAATAAAGACTTGAGTATATGGAGTAGACGTTATAATCAAGAGTTTCTTCTGCCGGCATCGGTTTCTTAGTCCATCAATACAGACCTAGTGCCACATGATGTTCAAGATCCCATTCTAAAGGTTTCCGAAGCTGTTTGAACCATGATATGAGTCGAGAAGTATGCCACTTGGATTTGACTAGTAATATCTATGGTGAAATATGCTTGAAATAGAATACTGAGGTGAACGAAAAGCTTGATTCCAGGCATGAATTTGATGAATCTTTCTTACGCCCGAGACTTTTAGATACTAGGTACCCAAGATATAAAATGCTAATGATGCGCCATTGAAGTGAATATGAGAATTTGACACTAGTAAAACTCGTCAATAGCATTCACGGGCCTACTTTCTTCCAGGAAGGCTTCAATAAAAAAGGCAGTGCATGGAAAGTAAACTTGACTTTTGATTTCCGATAGAAACCGTAAATACTGTGAGAGATGAACTTCACTTTACTCGTTAAAGATGCTGCGCCTACCATAAAAGTATTCATTTTCTTCACAGCCAAGTCACCTTTAAGTCGCAGCGGTATTCTAATAATCAACTATCTATCTTGGCCAGCTACGCGAATAGAATGTTTTTCGTGTAAGTTAAATTCCCTTCTTGGTCTTAGACTTCCTCCTATACACAAGCATATTTCTCAAGTCTAACTTTCGCGTCACCAGAATAGCTATATTCCGGCTCTCAAGCTATCTTTGTCTACAAACTCAACGCAATCATGACTTCCAGCGATATGTGGTCAGCTTCTGCCATCTCTGAGTGGTGTACCGAAACTTCAACAACAAGCAATTTCAAAACTACCATGAACAACAGTGCTCATACTCGCCATAGTTCAAGCAGTACCTACATGCCAGAAGTTGGATCGCATCTATCTTTCAAGTATGTTCATTCATCTTACAAATCCATCAGATGATTTTGCTGACATAATTGACAACAGAGAATTAGGTCCTATCATCTTGCAAATCGAAGTTGGCAGTGGCAAAGAGCCTGGAGGTACCGTCACTTTCAAAGTCCATGCCAAACTTATCTACGCCAAAATTCCAGCCCTCGAATACATGGTCGCCAATACTTTCGAAGAATTCCTAGACCCAGTCAAAGAAGTCCCAGATGTTATCCTTGCAAATGATGATCCCAAGGCTTTCAAGTTGCTCGTCGACTGGGTCTATACCGACAAAATCGATGGCGGTCTTAGTAAGATTGCAAGCATCGAGAACACAACTACACCCTCCAAAGGTTCCTTCAAAGGACTTTTTATGTCGATGAAGCTTCCAATCCTCGTTAAACTCTGCATTCTTGCCGAAAAATATCATATCCCGCGTCTACAGGATGAATCGATTGACTCCCTCATCAAGTTCATGGTCGATACCAAGGCAAGAGCTAATCCTTCTTGTTGGTTAGAGGTCTACAAACACACTATTCCAAGTCAAAGTTGAGACTTTTAATCTCCCGAATTGCGGTATGGCAAATGTCACAAGTTGGTGGATTGGATGGAGTTAGTGATATTGATCTCGATTCGATCTTATCTCGCAGTGAGGAATTACGTTTTGACATATCAACACTCACGGAGGATAACATGGGAGGTAGTCTAGCTGATCCGTTGTTGGCACCAGCTTGTGATTACTATAGCGATTAAGTTGGTAACGAATGATCTTGTTTACACATTCAGATACGCGGTGTTAGTTGAGAATTCAAGGATGAATTCACGCTTTAGCTTTGGATGGTTTGCTTTCGTGAATTGGTTTTGATTCGTTGGGCTGTCACTGCGAGTTTATTGAGGCACCAAATCTGATCTGTTTGTCAGATCCAACGCGAAAGGTTCATGGACTTAGGATGGTAATTTCAATTATAGACTATATTTCAGATTGATCGTACCTTTTAACATGATGCTGAATATTGAAATCGCTATCTCAACGCAGAGATCTATCCCGAAGACACTCACTTTCTCACACATGATGTAATATTTTCACGTTGCACCTCAAAACTGAGGGGAACATGTTTTGTATTCTATATGCTATACACCCAACATATAATGAGACATCTACTTCGTCATCTTTGTTTTCAAATACTTAGAATCCCAAAGAAGCCGTTCATCGACTCATCAAATCAGAAAAACACCCATTTCCTAGTCTATGCTGATTCAAGTGAATGAGCTTGCGATGCCACTGATTTTTGATTTCTCACCCTAATATTCCATGCACCGAGACCACACGATGCACTTAATTGTTCTCCATAAGGACATCGGGCATCTTTTCTGTGTTGGAAGTAGTCGCATGCAGGTGCTTCCATTGGATCCCCGTGGTAGACTACCATCTTCTCTAACAGAATATCATTGACATCAAGTGTGAGATCACTGCTGCTTCTCATCAAATCTTGAATATGCTCATGATCTTACCTAAAGAATTACAAAGTCTGTTCATTCCATGTATCGTAAGAGAATTGGACTCTAGGGAAGCTCACTATATTATTCAATTTTGCAACTATGCTATCATATTGACTTAGCTTAGGTGTTTCTTCCTTCAGGCTTTGAATGGGTGTGACTGTCAGTTTATCAAGCATTGCTTTTCACTCATTCAATTCAGTTGTTTGGAATGTAAAATATTGAGTTAAAAAATATCCATTCCTATTAGGATCTATTGAAGTCTATTCTAGTGTGTCTTTTGGGTACACAATCGATGAACTCAACTCTCATGGTTGAAGTATCCAAAACAATTTCCATTTACTCGACACCAAACCCCACACCATATTAAACATTAACGTACCGCGTGCATACATTCTTTATCCTATTAGAACCGAGTATTGAACCCGATGGATTTTGATTAGCTTCCGTTTCTGGTTGTTTAAAGCTCTCCTACAACTGGTCTGCTGGAGCCGTCTTAGAATCATCCTTGGATGCTTTCTTGAATCGATGGGTTAGGTGAGGGCTGATATCAACAAAAGCTCTGGAATAGCGTCGAGAAGTGTGGAGATTTGCTCGTCATCCAATTGAATTGATTATCTTCTTTCATGGCTTCGGCCACAAGTCCGGCGGAGAAAAATCGGAGTTCTGATGTTTCAGGGGTCAATTCATACGCAAATCTGACATGCTCTGGCGTGAATCTTGAGTCATCGCGACTTTCATAAATCTCCTTAATGATGCAATCCATTGCTTCATCTTGTAATTTATGATGTTCGAAGGTGTACGCGATAGCATATAGAGCGAAGAGCTCGTAGGTACGGCATTTGTTACTTTTCTGCTCTGCAATAGAAGTTCCATATATCCAGTGCTTTAGAAGCTTGAATCCAGCTGGATCAAGCTCAGAAAAATCCCATATAGAAACTCAATCGACTAGAATTGAGTCTTTGGCGAAATAAGGAATCTTCTTTCCCAAAAGTTGAGCAGGGAGTTCGAGTACAAAGTTGTAGGTGCCAATCATGATTTTAGCCGTTGGTGCGCCCCAGTTTCTAAACAAAGTTAGCTAATAGACCTTGATATTAGATGGCATAATGATATAATGTGAATTCTATGACCCAAATGACACTTTGTAGCCCAAGCTAATGAACAACTTCATCGATAAAATGGGGTTAATTAATGGGAAATGAACTTACTGGTCAGGTTGTTCAGGTGCACTGTCTGAATCATCAGATGAGCTCACTGATCCATTACCATCTCCATTGCTTGAAGAGACACTTTCAGATATATCAGATGTGTGTTCTTGAGATGGGGCTGGAACAAAACGAGGTTCAACGAGTGATGATTCGTGGGAGTTCGCAAATTCATGTTGTCTTTTAATGTGATCCTCCGGTGAAAGTTCTTTATCATCACAAGTGACATCCGACGTGTCGTTGTTGGCCATGACTGGTACTTCAATCGATGTTAATAAGTAATCGATGGAAGAGAGAATATGAATACATCAATCGTTATTAACGAGTAAATGTATCTATGGGAGTGGCTACATACCAGATCGCAAACTCTCCATCAGTCAATGGAAAGTTTTAATGAATGTGTACTTTCGAAGTTCTGTCTATATGTTTAAGGTCGAGAGAAGAAGAGGGATGAAGTGTATATATATACTGTGGGGTATAAGCTTCAGGAATCGTTAACTCCCCCCCCCCCCCCCCCCCCCCCCTTTAGTACTCTCTTAGCTACTGCCTAGCGTCCAGTAGATCAAGTAGCTCTAAATTTAGCTGGAGATCAAGATAATTTTTAGAAATGGGTTTTAAACAACTAATAATTATTATATTATCAAACTTCGTCACCAAAAAGGTGTGCTTTTGAGTTATATTTAACCATAAAAGAAGTGATCTTTTGGATAAATTCAGCAACAGTTCTATTGATTTTACGGATTATGGCATCTTCATGAGGCTCGCTTAGCCCAATTTGACATTTGACAAGACTTCGTTTAGCTTTTCCTCAATGATGTCTATGAGGGCGCAAGCTACTACTAGCTTGTATCTAGCTCTAAGTGTTCTGAGCCTCTAACCGGAAATTCATCACAACCAGTACGCCATACTCAAATCATCTTTCCGGAAGAGAGAAGGTCGCGGCGAGCAGCGTACATTCTTATCCATTCCAAATGTTAGTAGATAGACGATGCCAAGCAGTGGCTTACATCTCCGCCGTTCAAACCTCCTAACTTTCAACACGGCATTTAGCAAATGATCTAGCGGGGCCGATCAAACCATTTGACCAATGAACCGAATTCGTCGCAGATGATCTACGGTTTCCTCACGTGCATCTAATTCCATTATTCGTTGGTCATGTTGCTTCTACGTAATTCAGACTCTTTCACGATTGTCTAGATCTCCGTATCTTCCATAATGTCACATAATTATTGATTAGAGCCGTCAGCTCTAACCTTCATTGCTGCGCGGTGCAAATTGTGAGTACACTTATCCATAACGATCGAGTCCTTTCCTCGATCCTCTTCTTGCATAGTCACATGTCCTTAGTTCTAACCCAACACCCATGAAATCTTCATCTCTGACCATGGCTCCTCATATCTATTCTTTCAGTTTGTCTTCTTGTTCAGTTTTGTTCTCACGATGACGATTCAATGCTCGCTCCGATGATCTACCTTTGCACCTCTCTTCTGCCCCCACCAAAGTCCATAAATCTTTTACTTGTATTCCCAATATCCTGTGATTATAGAAGTCCCCATCTCTCCCCTCGAGCTGCTTCGCTCACTCGCTTCTTTAGACCCTGTCGCCATGATTCTCTCACTCGACCACATCTTTCTCGCTTTCATGACCTTTACCAATCAATTTACAGCTTCGTCGCCCAATATGTAAATCAGAGTTTTCTCCTCGCACATATATAAATTACCCAGATGCCACAATAATTTCCCATCTTCTATTACCACATAATTGTTGGCGCAGGGATACAGCCAAGAGAAGAGTAGATGAAAGGCGATAGGATGGTCGGAGAGGAGATGAACGACGAGAATAGATGGGTGATGAGAGGAGATGGACGACTAGAGTGCGAGTTTCGACGAGGCAGGACGAGGTGGGTCGAGTGAAAAAGGTCAAGCGACCAGAAGGGTAGTAGGAAGTGAGGAGAGAGTCAGAAACTCTGGAATTCAAGGAGAGTAATCGACTTCGGGGGCGAGGGCCAATGTAGCAGGTTTCGATTCGAGTGCCTAGAACTCTGCAGAAACTGTAGTCTCTTAGCATGATGAACTGAACAAGACAAAAAGAGATGTTCGATAGAGAGCATGAGAAGAAAAAGAGAGACCTAGGATATCTTACTGCACATAAGATAAATTCCCAGATGTTGTCTCAAGAAGTTTTCCTCCTTTTTAAGTCTCACAGTCTACCCCCTGCTTCATCATCGGCTCGGAATGCTAATTATGGGCGTCGGTGTCATTGCCGCAACTGCCGTCTTCACCCATGCTCTTTCCCTAAGTATCTATCATAAAAGTCAATTCATGTACTAGAAAAGTCGAATACTAGTACATGAAATGAAGATCCTCAGTTTTTTACAGTCAAATCCTGGTTGAATTTTATTAAGCTGCGTTAGACTTGTGTTGATTATTTGTCATTATCTCATATTGTACTTCGTATCGTCAAATACCATATGAGACTATACCCCTGTAGATATTGAAGTGTTAGAAAAGCAGCTGTGCATATTTTCACAAGATGTTATTTCATGTAGAGAGCAAGATCATTATTACCATCAATACAGACATTCACGACATTCACAAAAGTCTGAATATAATGAACCCATTCGCAAGTTTAAATATCACATAAAACAACCGTGAAAACCCCTAAATAAATCATTGCTATTGAGTTGAGTTTGGATTAATTACATCATGACATCCTTTCAAGACACTGTTTGAACATGTCTTAAGGATCATGCATACCTATTATATGTGTGTAGATACCATCATCAAAAGTAAATGAAAACCTGAACCGAGCCGAGTCGAGCCAAATCAAATTGAAATATAAGAGTCCAAATTTTATAGACACAAGAAGATTTGTTCTGATCGAAGAAATGAGGGCCGAAAAAAAAGCACACCGTCCAGAAACACCCCCGGCATGGGTATACCCATGGGTAGATGGCTAAACAGTCGTGGTATCGCCGTTGAAAATATCAAAAACCTGAAATAAAAAAGAATCAATGAAAAAGAGAAAAGGAATCTCGAGAAATAATTTTGAATCAAAAGCAACTGCACAAAAATATCTTCCAGATCAACAGACGCCGATGCAAGACCAAATCTACCATCCCATCACAAATCCTGATCCTCAGGGTCCATCTCAAATTCCTTCTTAAACTGTGCCCTATCCTGAGCAACAGTCGTGAATGGTAATCTTCTCTGACGCCCGGAAATCTCAAGATTAAACTGGGGACCCAAAGCACCGGGCGAGAGATTTATTGTAGTTTGATGATATCTCCGCGGTGGACCACGATCAAGTGTAGAAGGTGATGAGGCTGGACGAGGATTAAATGCAACATTGGGACCTTTCTTGACGGGTGTTTTTCGTGACTTTCTTGGAGTGCCCTTGGCGTAACCTTTAGCTGGACTTCTCGCTGAACCTCTGGAAGAGTTTTTGCGGTGATGTGCTCTCTTACTAGGGCTCGCCTCTTCAAAGTCATCTTCTTCCTCATAGTCTTCTTCATTCCCTTCATCAATATAATCATTTCCATTGTCTCCTTCGACCGACCCGGTATCCTGGAATCTGAAGTAATTGGCACCTCTAGCCGACAAATCATACCGTCTTTGGCTTCTAGTGCTAGCACGAGTACGATTAGGTGTTACTGGAACGACCGCCTCACCTGGCTGGCTTCTTGTACCAGCTCTTTCTCGACGTGGTCTTTCCGGAACATCAGCTGGATCCATTCTCCTGGATTGATCAGAGGTTTGGTTCACGTCGCCGAATCCAAGACCAGCATTGATTTGTGCAAGAGGTGTGTTATGTAACATGATCTCATCCATGCCTTCAAAGCCAGTAGGAGCTTGGTCCATATCATCAGTGTTTTGGTCGGCACTGTCGAAAGGTTGCTTCATACCACCGAAGCCAGAAGGATTAGCATCGGGATTGAAATCACCAAGATGACGAGAGGATCTTCTTGGACCGGGAAATGGCATATTTTGATCATTCAAATCCAAATTGTAGTTGCCTCTAAAACCAGCAAGGTGAGTTCCTGGGCCGTGGACATCATTGAAGTTGGGAGCTGGGAAAAGATCTGCATCTAGATCCATATTGACATCCATATTTAGACCCATGCCAATTGGTCCAAAATCACCAAAACTACCGCGATTGATCCAAAAATCCTCTCGTGGATTGTCAAGAGCTGCAATAGGTTGAGATACTCCATACATCTCAGGAATCTGATGGTTCGAAGTGCGATTTTCATTACCAGAAAGGTCAACTACTGCAAATCCCATCTCCTGCTCGTTGTTAGTTTGATTGACAGCAAATCCTTCCCGATCTTGACCAGCAAAAGTGGCTGTACGACTCCGAGATACTAGACCGGTTTCAAGATCCATGTTTTGACTCACGAATGGGTTCAAACCGAAGCCACTCGGTGCGCCGACTCCTCCGTGAGGGCTTAGGGATCGATCTTGAGCAAAGATCTCAGGGAAATTTGCTTGAACTCCAAAGGATGGTACATGACGACCACGAGGTCCTTTATAAAGACCATCATCCTGTCCACGACGTGTTCTTTCAGATTTATGGGTATGGATTGCGGGAAGACTTTTTGTACTTCTTCTTCCATCTCAACCCTAGCTCCATCATTTCCGAAATTTCCAGAAGATCTCGCATCTTGGCGTCCGAGCGATTGGTAGACGGCAGCGATCTGCAGCTTTTCACGCATTTGGGCCCGATTCATAGTAGGAGCGAGGCTCTTTTTTGCTCTGTCAGAGCTGGTGGAATGGTTTGCGTCATTACCATAATACACACTTGCTTGTCCGACTGTTGATTGAGAACGACGCTTAGATGGAGCATAAGCGGGAACTAATTCTTCAGATGATCGACCACGACGTGGAGGCGCGATGTGATCAGGAACAGAATAGACATGGGCCGGCACAAGTGAAGAAGTATCGACAATGATGGTATTCTCATCGACAATAGGATTGGTTGCCTTGTATTGACCCATCGATAACTGCGAACGAGTAGGACGATTATAATCAGAAGCAAATCTATCGGACGCAGGTGATCTTCCTTGGTGTGGCGGTGCATTTTCCGTAGGAGCAAAACTTTCAGACGATTGAAACCGGATTGAGAGGTGGATGATTAGAAGGAATGGGTCCTGTAACTGTGGGAACCACACCCAATGCACGATAAACCGTAGCAACTTGGAGTTGAAAGTTACGATTCACAAATCTAGCTTTGGAAGCTGCAGTAATCGCCTGTTTCTCTTCAGCGGCAGTCTTATTATTTGCATCAGCCTCATCAGTTGAACCTGCTTGACAAACAGACGGTGTGGAATGAGATGGGGATGCAAGCCGAGATGGAGGTACGCTGGGTGAACTGGACGTCTGGCTCGTACTGCGTGTGCGATGTACAGAGGTAATAGATGAACCAACTTCTGTCCCCTTGTGTGAATAGGGTGTAGCCTCTTTTGCAGCAGCTCTATTCGCGTCTCCAATCTCTTCTTCTGCTACCTTTAGCGCCTCCGTGTTGTACTCATGAAAGAGCTTGTACTCATCCCAGACGTGATCGACTAATAAATGCTCGCAGATCCAAGGGTGTTCTGCAACGAACTCCATAGCATCAATCATCTCACGAAGAGAAAAACGCTCATCGTTATCCCCATCGACAGACTCTGCAGGAGAGGAGTTTTTGTTTTCAAGATGGTCTTCGATCCCAGGACTACGGTTAGGAGTTGTAGCTTTGTTCGAGGTGCTTTCTTGATTTTTGGACGAGAGACATTGTTTGCTGTCGACTCGTTGTCGAGAATCATTAGCTCTGGTTTTGCTGTCATTATTGCTGGCAGTGAGCTGAATTTCCTCCTCCGTATCAGAATCGGTAATAACGGCAGGTTTCGGCGCACTTGTTCTGCGAGTATTGCTAGATATTGCAACTCTCTTTTCATTGCTCAGCTTCGTGAAACTGGTGGGCCGATCACGTTCGTCGTCGCTAACACCATATAGGTCATCGTTCTTAGAAGCTATCTGCGCCTGGAGATCGCGTTCCAGCTCCAACTGATGAGCTTTTTCTTGAGGAGTACGATATAAGGAGTTCAAATTTATGCTGCTGATAGCTCCAAGCTCAGCAGTGGCGCTCTTCTCGAGGGCGAGGGCAAATCTCACGTGCTTGGGGTATTTTTCACCAGTGTGAGATTTGGAGTTGGAAGTCGTGGCTTGGTCATGACCACCGTTAACTTGAAGAGGGGCAATTTGAGGAGGTGGTAGTCGATTCGATGAGGTAGACTCATACCTACGTGGAGCTTTATCTAAAGAAGAGAGGTTAGCACCTGTGCTTATTAACAGATCCCGTGGCTAGTAACGAACCACTCTGAGATAAAGCTAACAAAGATTGCGCAGCTGTTTGGCGACTTTGAGCTTCAAATCGAGGATAACTTTGCAACTTTGACTGAGAGTCACGGCTAGAGCCACTGTGATTTGTGATAACGAAATTGTATCCTGAATGAGTGCTGAAAAATGACTGACTCTCTCGACACGCTGCCTCGACCTGTTTCCTCTATTTCGTTCTTGTGGTCTTCTATATCCCTGAACTTCCTAACGTGACTTTTCCAGCCTGGATTGTATGTCTCGTTAGATAGCTTGACGCACAATCGCTCGCACAGTGTTGGCTAGTGAAAAGCTGTCAGTATTCGTTGAATCGTGAATGTAAAACCTTACTTACATGTTTAATGAACAAACGAGCAAGGAATCTGGCATGCATCATAGCCCACGCACTGATGTTGACTTCTGGGTTGAGGTTTGGTCCTCTCTTCAATATCGGGATGACATTTTGAACTTTGGACTTGTAAACGTCCATTGCCTCAATTAATATTCTCCCGAATTCAGCTCGATCTTTCTCTGGAATGCTAAGGACCTCAGATTCACAGGTAAGAAACCAAGTAGCTGGATTATAGGAGACTATCTTAGCAATGACTGCCTCTTGTTGCTTGGAGATAGCCATGATGAATATTGTACAAAAAAGTGTGTTGTAGCAAATGCCAGGAAAGATAATACAAAATTGTGAATATGATACGCCAAATTTGAAAGCTTTGCAACCTCCTATAAAGGAGAACAGGCATCAAAATACAAATTGAAGTTTGAGAACCTTTGAAATAAGAAAGTGTCTTTGTTCTTGACAGAATAAAACTGAGCTTTGGCGACGGTGGGATGGAAGAATAGTCGGCTAAAGCTCGGGTCCTCCGATCTTGTTTCCATGGCATTATCTAACCCTTCGAAGTATTCACTTGCTAAGGTAATAGATTTAAGAAAAGGTGATGTGAAAGACCTGGCTGTGTAAAGTATGTTCATGCCTTGTATCAATAGATCCTAGGCCAATTCAGTCAATATCTTTGAAGTGTTGAATTTTTCTTCCTTTTTCCCAAATTTGAACTCCTTGAATTGTTGATTGCACTTAACTGAATGTTAAAGACTGGTCAAAGGTTACCTATTATACCTCTTTCTAATCATTCCAACACCTTTATGGAGCGAACAAGCAGAGGTTTGAACAGAAATAAATTGTATGAATTTATGCTTGTCCTCCTGATTAACTTCCATCCAATGATCTTGAGTTCAATATATCACACATATATACAGACCTAAGTTCTATTTACCTGCTCACAATTTGGATGACAGACACTTACAGGATCCTAAATAGTTGAGGTGCAACTTAGAATACTAGTAGTTGATGTCTGCTTGATCAAAATTTGAGACTGACAAACTCCTGGGGGTATCATGTTTGTCAAAAGTATGATAGCCAGAGAAAACACAGTGCCTATTGTGAACAGCTGTCAATCCTCAAAATTTGGAAACTTCTGGTTTGCTCTGTTAGCTTGTGATGACAATGATCAAGATCTTTGGAATCCTATCCTGCAACTGGAACTGTCCTTCACTAGATATTGACATAGTGTTTTTCATCGGCAATGTAGAAAACCATCATACATTCATTCACACCTGCAAATATTATCAGCATTCATCTCATCAACTATAGACCCACCAATATTAATCCGATCATCAAACACAAACCCCCAACAAGTTTAATGTCCCATGTAATTCCCGCTTGTTGCGCCAAGTCATCCGCTTCCGCTTTCACTTCCGCATACCTTCTCCACGCTACTACATGTCTCATCTCTTTCCCCTAATCACCAACCATACATAAACCCTCCAAAGACCCCCAACGACATCGATTCTGAGAAGTTAACTTTCTCAAAATAAACCGGGACAGGAACATCACAGCTTCAAGAACTTTACTAACTGTTCCAAAAATCCCAAAAGAAAACTTAATTCACCGACCCGAAGATTCCCAAAAAGAAAGCACAACTATTCTACCACCGTACGCACTCTTCTCGTTATGGCCTACCTATTCTTCTCATCCTTCCTTCTCCCCTCTTCTCCCCTCCAATGATCTTGCATACATATAACAAGCATCTGCAGAACCCTTCAAACCCATGCAAACACAATGCATACAAGCCTCCTCCTACTCCTCCAAAAAAGCATACAGCAAGAAGATCATGAATTTATCCCCTCTCTTATCCCCTCTCCTCTCCCCTCTCCTCTCCCCTCTCCTCTCCCCTCTCCTCTCCCCTCTCCTCTCCCCTCTCCTCTCCCCTCTCCTCTCCCCTCTCCAATCCAAACCCTCCAATCCAAACCCTCCATCTCAAACCTCAACCCTCCATCTCAAACCTCAACCCTTCATCTCAAACCTCAACCCCTCCAAACCCAATCCATCTACCACGAAAAGACACCATCCATACCATTCATACACCTCCACAAAACACTTTCACACCTACCTACCTATAATTTCACTTTTCACTTTCCACTTTTCCCTAAAGAATACATACGTTATAGGTCCCTATATACCACAAAGCCTACAAAAGAAAGAGTACAGAAGCATAAAATAATAAAACAACCCTTGAATAAAGCAAGTGAAGTCTGGTAGGTAGCTATAGGTACCTACCTAGGTAGGTATTGGAATGAAGTCCCACGTTGAAGTTCCTAGGTATGTATGTAAGGTTATATAAGCGCACGGACAGTTGGTATATGTATAAATATATCACGTGAGCGAGTTGGCCAGCCGCTGCGCTCTTAATTTCGATTTTGGATTTTGGATTTTGGATTTTGGATTTTGGATTTTGGAGGAGTAGGTAGGTATTTTTAAATTGAAGTAGAACTGATCATAGAGTTGTAGGGATGAGGTGTATGGAGGAATGTGTGGGATTACATCGGGTTGGGAGAGATATTGAGGAGGAGAATTGTTATTTTCTAAATTTTCGTAAGGGAACGTATATTTCCCGTGATTTCACGAAGCATATCTTAGAGTATATGAGGGGAAAGGAGATCTGTGATATATTATAAGAATTATTGAATATGCACTATTATTAATTATGATCTCGAAGCAAGTAAATCCACCAGTCCGCTTATATATATGAATGAAAATTGGTCGAGATGCCACCAGGATGCCCATGGTCTTCAATTATGCTTGTATGTATTGACTTTTAGTTCTCAAGTAAGGACCGAACCTATACAGGATCCAAGGAATTGGTATCAAAGATACAGTAACAAAGCCCAGCATCGATGTTGCCCATGTAAAGCCAAGTTTGTCGAGAATCGTTGGTGTTATGAGAGGGAAACAAGCCGAGATAAAGAAGCGCATGAATGTTAGGGCGGCTAACATTGATGCACTATAGTGAGCAGTGTAGAAGTCGCTATGATACACTGGGAGACATAGCTAAGGGATTCTAGCGTCAGCTTTTGCTTGATTATCTCTACATGGAGTTGAAAGACATACCATGGTGAGAACAAATGAGAAACCGAATATTCCGCCAGATAGAGTTGGTATAATTGAAGGAATATCCGCGCGACCTGTCCATGCGAGCCTAATCATGTTGTCAGTAATACAAAAAGATAAATGGAATAAAGTCATCTTCTTGCCAAAATAAGACATAGGAAATGTGATAGACCCCAACATGGCTGGATATAATCGTTTCTCTGGTGCAACCTTGGTCCCAGTTCGGATTGCTTCATTTCGTGGTTTTCGATAAAATAGTCGATCAAAGATGGCAATCGTCGGAAGTGCAGTCACACTTCCAATTATCAAAGGACAAAATGCCATTCCGACTTCATATGGTGAGTGTTGGTAGATTTTCTCAAACAAGTTAGCATATGATACGAGGTAGGAAAGGACCACAGATTGTGTTATTGCCATAACGAGACCGGTTGAAAAGACTGTAGGTTCGACGAGTAACATGTGTAAAGGTCTTCCGAGTGAGGTAAGGACAAGTCTTGCAAGTGTTGCCCTGGTAGTTATGAGACCCATTCTTGCTTCTGCTCGGCGGCGCAGTATCTGTGGTTGATAAGTTTCGGGAAGTAAATAGGCGAAAATTGTAGAGCCGCTGAAAAGTATAGCCGACACCCAGAATTCCCATCGCCAGGAATGATTTGTTATTATCGCTGCACTGACCATGGGCCCGGTCTCTGTCACATCGATGAGTTAGAAATGGAGATGATGTGGAAAGTGAGGCATAGATTGAGAACTTCGAATTATGGGAGTGCAGAATCAAAGGATAAATTATACTTACGGGTACCACCAACTACAAACAGTACGAACAAAGCAGCAAATGTAGTTCCAGTTTTCTCGAGACTGATATTCCATACATCACTAATGATTCCTCCACCGACTGTCAGACAAGGAGATGCAAAAAGACCAGCGAGTGTTCGGGCGATGGCAATCGTGGCAAAGTTTGTGGCACATCCTCCCGAAAGAGTAAAGATCAATGCTAGAGGTGCAGTAACTCTGTATACTATTCGCCTACCGAAAACTTCAGAAAATGCCGTTGAAAATAATGCCCCGATACCAAGGCCCGCAGAGTAACATGATATCGGAATAGTGGCTATTGTTTTTGAAATTCCGAACGATGTAACGACACCTGGCATACCTCCCGTGTAGGTTGAATTCCCAAAAGTTCTGTCATATGATAAGCACGTGGGTATTTAGTAATCTTGTCAGAGTATGCAAGAACTTACGCTGCAAATGCTGTGTATAAAACCGAAATGGAAATAGCATATTTGATAACAGGAGACCAGTTACGAGCATTCTCATCGTCTTTCAGAATAATCGAAGTGCCTCGAGGACGTTGTGGTGCATATGAATATCTTTCCCATCTCAAACAACATTGAGGTTGTTGTTTCTCATTTAATTCATCAGAAAATGAAGTACCTTGGCTGCTTTTTCTCTCATTCATCTTGATAGCACAATAATTATCAGAAGAGACAAAAGAAGATAACAATTGCTTGGTTCAACAAGCTCGCTGAATATATTGAAATGGTACATTCGAAGAGAAAGATCCTTTGGGGTATAAGTAAGAGGCAGTAGGTAATGAGCAGACAAATTCAGGTCCCGATGACGGCGCGGTATACTTTGATCGTCTTCCCAGAAATTTCAAAAACGGAAGGCACAACTGGCCCAATCTGGTGCGTTTGGTCGTCATCGAGATTCAAAGTCTTACTTCTTCCACCATATCATCTTCTATGGTCGATCAAAAACTGATAGATGCTTCATCAAGATCAGGAGTTCCAAGGCTGTTTCATTGTAAGATCGTATTTGCGGGATATTATCAATCCATGGCACACAAAACGTGTATTTATTCAATGATCAATGTCATCTACGACCTATGACTGTCGATCAATTTTGGGTGAGATTCTCCATCCCTCATGAAATTGAAAGACTTATCGTCGAGTTTGCCTGCAATCCTACTTCCATCATTCGAACTGACAGTCGAACTGGAAATTCAATAGACGTGGTGGTCTCGGACGGGTCCAGCAGAATGAAATGGTTTATCGGAGAGATATTCGACACCATCAATTCACCGATGAAGCTACCGTCATGGATCACACGTGTGGTGGTTGATAGGAATGGCCCCTGGTCCAACAAGTCTCCAGCCACTGGCCGTTTCAACTTTGTCGCACTCATTCGCTTGAAATTGATCCATCGGACGATGTATTCCGATGAATTCGACGATGAATGTTATGTGTCATCTCTCACACCATCTATGTCACCACGAATTCGCTCACAATGGTGCAAGTACCCGGGACAAATGACTTCTTTTCCAAAAGCGTCCCGAAATAGCATCTTACCAACATTTTGGTAATCGTCATATCGATCCACAACCATTACGAGAGAGAATGGAATCCCCCATCGTCGGTAAAGCTTTTACCAGTGAAGTGATCCACAAACGGCGGGGATTACCTCTTTTGGGGGAATTCCCCATGAAAATTCTTTGGGGTCAATCAAGGATATGTTGCAACAGCAATGTTATGTGCAGAGTACGCAGAGATATAAAGCATCGCTACTGCCCTACTGATCGTCCGAGGGTTTCTTTCAAACTCTTTTTCGCATTTTAACGAATCTTTCTTTTTCCTTCCAAATCTTACCCCGGATACCCCACCCCCACAACAAACATAACAGAGCCTGCAGATGCAGAAGTTGGCATCGAACATTGAAAGGAATTGGAAAAATATTCTATTGATATTTCTGAGGGCAGATTACGATGATCTTGAGAAATTTGTCACAAGAATTCTCCAACTCAGATGAGTTTCTTTTGATTGTCGTCGTTGTCTCTTAGGCGCATGGCACAGGAACGAAAGAAACCCTCAAGAGTCTTCCCTTGGCTGAGACCTTTTCAAGAACCAAGCCAACCAACTTTGAGCAAACACACCCAACTCAGATCGCACAACGCCTCGAATTTCTTACCTTCTTACGTGCAACATAAACATGTTCCGACCTTCGAATCTTCCAATCGATAACGATTTATACTACAATGATGTTAAGCTCGATCATCTAGAGTTATCAATTGAGCTCAAGTTTCATCCAGTTTAATCTGCATTCAATTCGGCACAGCGGTACAGTCGAACAAGAAAGTCACAACGAATGGAAGAAGACACAGAGTAGAGTAGGTGGAACCATGGTGCATGAATTATTCAAATCTATAGTTTTCATTGGTATCGTATAGTGATTCTCCCAATAATATCCCGAAATTATGAACGCCGACTAATGCATATTTCCAATCCCAGGTTTCCCTCATAAATTCGATCATAGATCGCCCAGTCATTGACACCATTATCCCGCCATGCTATGCTATGCTACAATAAACAATACTAAAACTGCGGAGTGACCCGCGATGGAAGATTTTGTCCTTCCGGAGACAGTCTGGAATCATATACACAACGCGGATGAATCCAACCACCCATGTGAATAGAACCCGCCGTCAGGTCAACGAAAAGGGTCCGACAAATATCGTTGCACGACTTGTCCCGAACCGGAATCTCCTCTAAATCAAGTCCTTCACACGAAAGGGGCTGTGTAAAGACCAGTCTTCTTCTTTTGCTCTTCATCGCCCTTCTGCGTACTAGCAAGCTTGGACCGAGCTCGTAAAAGATGTCCGTACTTGAACATGATGAAAGGAATGAAGGTCAAGGCAGTACCAGCGATTGCGAGAATCAAACCGGCATATTGGCTACCGACATTGTGGAAGAATTGGCTTGCGAACAATGGCGCCACTGCACCCAAGGCGTTACGCATCAAACCCTGTCCAGCAATGGCGGAGGAACTATTTTCGCCATAACAATCCGAAGTGTAACTGTATGTGGATTCGAAAATGAAGAAAATGCCCATGGAGATTGGTGCAAGTGCAATGGCTGGTGCAACCCATGTAATGAAGCCATACTGGGTGAAGCTGTAGATGAACAATCCGATGGGGAGGAAACAAGCACCACACATTGCACCGTACAATCTGGATTCCGGAACAATGTGTTGGTCATGGGCCGCCATGATTGATTTGTACTTCTTGATCTGGAAGAAATTCAATCCAAAAGCGATAGTCACACCAATACACAATGAAATGTATGGCAGACCAGCTATACCTTCATTCCAACCGTGATGTTCTTGAAAGGTAATTGGGATGACCGACAAGAACAAGAAGGTGACGAACCAGGCGAAAGCGATCCATAAACCGAAAGCGAAAACGACTGGCTCTGTGGCAAGCATTTTGACAGCCTTGACAGAAGAACTGTGAAGCATCTCTTTCAAGTCCTTTGCCTCGAGATCCATCTCGGCCTTGTATCTCTCATCGCCTGTTGCAGCTCGGAGAAGCTTGGCTCGTTTGTGCAATGCGACACCGCCTCTAGTTTCACGAAAAAAAAGAAGGATTGCAGCGAGAAGTGGTAAGTTTGCCAATCCTTGAATTCCCTCGATCCATCTCCAGCCAATTGTTTCGTCGATGAATCCGGCATAAATTGGCGCGCCAACCGTTCCCAAGATAGCTACATATGCGAAGCATGCCATTGGAACAGCTCTTGAATCTGGTGTATACATATCACTGAAGGTTCCACCTACGAGAATGGTGCCTACACAACCAAACAATCCACCTATGATTTGTTAGTAATTGTACAGTGCTATCTTTGGAAAAAGGGATCATTACTCAATGTTCTCATGACAAGAATTGTTGCAATGTTTTTGCCGAGAGCCAATCCGATGAAGATGATGATGAAGCCTGCATAAGCGCCAGTATAAATGATCTTTCTGCCGACCAATTCGCAGAAAGGTGCCAGAAACAACGGTGCGAGTGCACAAGCCATATTGAAGCAGAAGAGTCCCAATTGTCCCAATTCGGTCGAAACACCAAAGTCATCGCACATTGAAGTGATTCCACTACTATATGCAGTTGTTGCCAAACCGATGAAAAGTGTCATCATACACAGCAAGACTGTGATAAATACTTTCTTTCCTGTGGGCCAGTTGAAAGGATTCTCTGGATCTCCATTGGCGAAATGAAGAAGAATATATTCCCCTCCATCTTTTGTGATAAGCTCAGTGCGAGTTTCTGGCATATCGATATTGACCTCTTTCAGAGGACCGTCTTCAACATTGTCGCTATCGCTACCACGCATCGACTCTAAGAAAGAACCCCCTGCTACTCGTCCAACGGGTGGTGTTCGATTTTCCTCTTGCTTCAAATCCGGTAGTTCAGAGTTCGAACTGTCCTTATTGTTGGGGGCGGGGCGAGGCCCATTGTGCTTTGGAAGGTCTGCCATGTCGTATTCTTGAGGTTCGTTGTGAGGATTCTGGGAAGTCGACATTTTCGGGAATGAGGGGATACTTGGGGAGATTTATTCAAATTTTGAAATAAGGAGACTCCAGAGAGGGGGCCCGTTAATATGCTCTCCAACTGTTGGAGCACCACATTTTCCCAGTAAGTCATCATCGACCTGCGTGCCGGTACGTGTTGCCATTGATCTATGTCGTCATAGACCGAGGAAAAACCGCGTGAAGAGATTTCGGCGGCACTTCAAGTTGGAGTTCCATATTTTGGTGGACTGCCTGATTCAATCGTTGTTGATATCGGGTTTGACTTTTAGTTTTGATCCACAAAGAAGCCGGCACTAGATTCACATCGGGTATCCTAACACACATCCTTCCGACTCGCCTCGCCAACGGAATTAAAAAGTGTGTAAGGAATTTGGTGCATGGTCTACGATAAAGCCGCTCATTGCATGATTGAAGCAAGAGAGAGTAGCTGATTACGACTATTTTCATTAACTTTACAATGTCGAAAATCATCAAATTTTGCTGTAGGGTCCTTCACTGAAACCGTCACTCACTGTTCGCATTGAAGCCCGTCAAATTTTTTCAACAGGGCTGGGTCCATATTTGTGGATTCCTAAACGCGCTAGAATGACACTAGAACATCACTAGAAGGATCTGATGTCTAGGGGTTTCCGGTACACGAACAATTCGCGTCCGGGCTTTAAAGTTTTGAACCTGTCGCCAAGTGGTCGTGTGCAAATTTTGATGGGCTAAAGTTGGCATCTGTAGCACTTGTTTACGATGCATCGACTGCTGCACGCATTATTCTATTACTTTTTCGATACTCGATCGGAAGATTCGTGCATTGCGCTATGAAATTGAAGTTTTGGCAGTACTAATTTGCGACTATGCCGGAGATAATACATTGGTCTATTTCTGTAATATATCCAAGCACAACATTTACTGACGGCAGCTATTTTTAAGGGTTTTATGGTTTACTGCAAACTTTACAAAGTGGCTTTTCAATTAGCTATTGGTTGGTGTTTATCATCTAGTGGTCCGCGCTCGCCGCTCCCGTCGAACTTAGCGATTTGATCGAACACTCCTTTTTCGAGTGTTGTCCTGCATACCGTATGAATCCTGCATGTCGGTGAGAAACAAAAGTAAGGGATTTCCCTTGCGAAACGCTTCGAGACCTTACAAACAGAAATGAGGCTCTGGAGGTGAGCATCATAGGCAATGATGCTCATCGGATAAATCGAAAATGGATATCCGGCAAGTGGGGCTAATCCTAGAAACGATCCACCATTTAATGGGTACGAGATATTCCATAATTGGGACTCCTGGGCTGGTATCTCGTTTACTTTTCTTTTCTTGGACGTTCCTTGATTTTCGTGAAATAATCGAAATCGTTGCCATGCTGGCTATGACGGTTTGGTCGGAACGAGTGAGATGTCCGGTGGCTTTGTCGGATGATTCGGAGCCTCACTGGCTTGAAATAATCTGTGGGATTTATAAGATAAGGTGGGTTTGCTGCATATTGCTAGAGTTATGTATCATCTCACGATCTGGATGATATTAGCACTACAAAATCACAAGACGGCGCGTTCCATATTTGTTTACGAGATGTGGGACAATTATCTGCATCTAGTCAATGGTATGATGTTCTGGTGGGCAACAAAAACTGAATTCACGTGTTTAGACGACCACGTTGTCATTGACGTCTTTATCAATAGTCATTGAAGTCAAAATTTATCTTAACACATCAAAGTACGCAGTGCAAGTGCACCTACCCTTGTTTCTATAGATGGACCTTTCACTAAAATGAAATCAATATTCAGTTACCGTTTAGTATTCGCGCTTGCTGATCATTGCGGAATTAAGATATCTTGAACAGGTTGGGGAGTGGGTGAGAGGAGAATGGGGAGAAAAGGTGAGGGAAAAGGGCCGTTTCCGCTTCCCCAATTTGCATGCTGTACAACAAAACATGGTCTCACACCACTGTACTCCGTATGCTTGTGAATAGTTGGGGGAAGGGGATGGGAGCGGTTGGATGGGAGGAGAATCGAGGGGGAAAAGGGCCGTTTCCCCTCTATGGGTTTTTTTGGAATTATTTGGGGATTTATTCTGTTGTTATCTGGGTCCTGGGTGTGCGATAATCAAAAGTATTGAAGATATTGTAAGATGTTTTTTGATTTGTTTGGCTTTGATTTCAAGAGTTCATAGACCTTTGGAATGAATAGCTATTGTATTTTATCATATTGTAGAAACTTCACACGGAATAGAAATTATCACATGTACCCAAAATATCACAGTATCGGCATCGTATCGTATCGGATCGGTAACCCATATACATACCTACCCATTCACTCCCATTCCATCCGCTCCCACACATCCCGAACTCCACACTTACGGAGTACATGCATACATACATGCATATGGATATGGATATCCCACACCATTACCACCTTCCCAACTTGGGAACTTGGGAACCCTGGTCGTTTAGATCCCGATTTCTTCCATGTCCGTGGGATTTTCGTTTGTTTGTTTACTTGTTTTTGTTTGTTTGTTTTTTTCTGCATATGGTCTGCATTTGTGAAATTGTGAATGAATGGATGGATGGGGTGGGGAGGGATATGGAGTGGGGAGTTGGGGGCTGGGGTTGGGGAGTTGGGGAGTTGGAATAGAGAGGTTGGAATAGAGGGGATGGAATGGCAACTTATGCTCATGCTCACTCATACTCACTCATGCTTCGTTCGTTGAAAGTGGTACTTGGGACTCGGGACTCGAGATTCGGCACTCGGGACTCGGGACTTGGGGATGGATATTCAGTCAGTCAGTCAGTGTAGCGGAGTGTAGCGGGGTGTAGCTTTCTGATTTGAGGTGGTTGGTTTGGATATTGGGATATTGGGATATTGGGATATTGGGATATTGGGATATTATATCTCGGGAGTGGGATTTTGAAGGTTTGAAGGGTTGTGGTTTTGAGGTTTGAAGGGGTGGTGGTTTGATGTGTTGTGGCTTGATGGGGTAGTAGGGGAACTGGGGAGTTGGGGGAATCTGGTGGAGGAAAGTGAGTGGGTGAGTGAGTGAGTTGGGAAGTTGGGGAAGTTGGGGAAATCTGGTGGAGTTTGTTGGAGTGATAGAGTGGTGGTTTGTTGGCTTGATGGGGTAGTTGGGGAGTGAGTGAATAGGTAAGTGAGTGAGTGGGTATAAGTAAGTGTGAGTAAGGGTATATAGTTTTGTAATCTTTTGATGTTGGTGGGATTTATGTTTGTGTGATTTATGGATGCGCGAATGCATGTGTGATTTAGATGAATGTATATACGTATGTATATGTGTGTATATTTTCTATTATAACATTGGCTTTGACTGAGAGGTATAGTTTGTAGGTAGTATAGAGCGGGTGATATACAATGGGGTTGTGTCTGATTTTTTATGGGGAGTCAGTGATTTTTTTGGCTTTTGGTTTTGATATATTTTTATATTTTTATGTGAGCCTATATGTATCTGTATGTATTCATTTGATCACGGAGTAAAGTGTGTAGGTGATGTGATGTGGTGTAATGTAGTGACTGATTTTTTTATTGAGATTGTGTGAGTTTTTCTGGGTTTTGATGAGTTGACGAGTTGATGATTAGATCCTTTACATAAGTACCAATAATAAGTTAGCAGAAGATATAACAGTAAATATCAAATTCCCAATCGATTCCGTCTATCTAATATGTATAACCCAGATGCGCTGACTGTGCGATATATTTATTGTAACTTATGTGATTAAGCAGTATAGATAGGAAAAACATCCAACCCCTCCATTGGGATATTCTTCCAGTCTGGCATGTTTATATCCTATCTAATAATCCGGTTTTGTGTTTATAGCTTGCAATTTCTATGTTTTTTGAAGATGATTAGTATTGTATTGCTCCGTTTCCAATCTACGAGTTCGTGATGTGTAATTTGCCGCTGACTCGTCGTGATGGTAGCTTTGGTAGACAGGTATAGAGATATAGAAATGGAGAAATAAAGAGATGGGTGACAGTGAGGAGGGTTTTGTTTTTGCATTCAAAGGAACTCAGAATCCAGTTAGGAATTAAGAGGGTGGCTTGTGACTTTTGAATTAGACGATAAATACTTTGTTTGTGCTTTTGAATGTGTGAATTTGTGTGTGGAAGCCTGGGAGAAGATTAATCAATAACTGATATCCTCGCTTGTTCTCTTTTTTCTTTTTTCTTTTCTCCCAGCCCACCCGCTTTCCTTTCTTTCGTTGGGATCAAAACTCCCTTTTCGCCTCATAATACAGACCCCAGAATCAAAATCAATATCAACACCATCACCATCACCCATACTCCTCCCAGCCAAACTCTAGACTGAAACCCAGCTTCCTCGCTCATGTCTTGACCAAGTCGTATCTAAATATCTAAGGACGGGGCATTATTCTTTCCGTAGATTTAGCGGATTGGAGTCTCGCTTGCCGAGACGGAGACGAGCTTCCCATGTTTGTCGAAGGCGGAGTTGCTTGGAAGTTGTTAGGGGATGGTGGTTGGGAGAGGAAGTAGGGAAGAGGAAGGAGGAGTATGAAGAAAGAGAAAAATAAACTTTACTTGAACCATTTTCTTCTTTCTTCCACAACTTATGATAATAACCACCGCGTCCCTTATGATTTGTCCACAGATTCGATTTGATATGAGAATTGCGATTATATTGTTTCTTGCGGCCATGTGTACCTATTTTCTATAACAATTTCTCACTTCTATGCTCCAAATTCGTAGAAGAGGACTCACAATCGAAACTTTTTGCTCTTCCTCCTCTTGGTGAAAACACTACATTCACCACAATATTTCATATCCTTCGGCATCCATTTCTGCAATTGTTTATGCAGCATCTTCGAGCGAGAGAAACATTCACAGTGATCACCCCAATAATGATCTTGACATTTTTTTCTTGTTAGAGGGGGAAGATTTTCCGCCGCGCGGAGAATGTTTATGTAGTGGAGGGAACGATCATGGCTGTTATCGTGTTAGTATTTTTCATCCTTTGTTTTCTCATCTAGTCAAATAGGATAAATGGGATGAGAATCAGAATTGGAATGAGAATTGATGAGTGGGATATCGATTGAAGAGAAAACTCACCATAGTTGTGCTCCTAATCCACATTTGCGGATGGGAAAGCGCCACGGTTTGTGAACACCAGGGGAAATATGCGATACTTCAGGTTTTGAGCAGAAGACTTCGGGGGTAGGGGAATAGTCGAGGGAAACGGGGTATTCGGGGGGTGAGAGAGTATAGAGGTATTTACTTGATGGGGTGTTAGTGTATATCTTGTAGATGCGAGATGATGGGATGGGATGGGAAAGGGGGAAAGAGGAAACATACCACGTGAGTCTGAGACAGGTACGGTCGTTTGGGGGACATTGTTCGAGGATTATACTGTGGATTTCGGGGGGGAAAGAGTTGAAGAGGGCAAAGGTAGACATTGTGATTAATTTGTCGATTTGTTTTGGTTTTGTCTTCTATATCTTCTTTCCAATGATTTATCGCAAGCCTTATGTCTCGAGGTAAACTCTCTGTATATACGTAGATATAATATACCGTATAAATAATACAATATTTCCTCGACTTCTTCAAGAAATATAAACAATCGATTCCAAAATTAAACACAGAAACTGTATCTTCAAATCTTCACATTCATCAAATCCAAGCCGAAATCAACATCTATATCTTCAAATCCATTTCCATTCCATCGCCAAGCTTCACGTTCGAGATCTCATTTCGTCAATTTCAATCAAATGAGCGTGGAATGCGAGACGGATCGACAGGCTACAGCTCCGCTTTTGCAGGCAGAATTGAGGCACGTGCGATGTAGCACGTGAAAGATTGGCACGTGTAGACTTGGCGATTTAGGCAGGAAGGCAGCTTGTGGGGGTGGGTCGGGTTTCTTGGGTTTGGGATTTAAATTCATTGTAGTCTGTGTGATCGCTCAATAGCTATGATGATATGAACGATTCCTGCGAAGTTAGTAATAGCGTTTCTTTGGAGGAATGGAATGGGTGGGAATTATTGTGCTTATGTGTCATTGAAAAGAGATGATGCTGATGGGATACGGAATTATCGCTATCGATGAAGTTTACACTGTCGAACTCCCTTCTCAATTGGGACTGATTTCCGAGGAACTCCAAGACGATGTTCTGTTTTGGAAACGCGAAGAGGTTTTCATGGAATTGTTAGACAGTCACGTGGCAATTCACACATTCGGTTTATTTCAGTGGTTTGGATTAAGAGGTTTCGGGCTACTCTTATGGAACAGGTCTCGTATCCATCGCGGCTATTGCAAGACCGACGATACGATAGAAACTTGGATGACGGTGAGCTATCGGGAAGTGGAAGCGGTAGAGGGATGAAATAATCGAGCGAGGGGCTCGTAGTGTGTACTATGAGTGTCCTAGCTTTACTTTGCTCATTCGTTAGAGGATGACTACACGTGAGAATTTCACTGGTTAGGACAACACTCTCATGAACATATAACTTAATCTGATTCCAAATTCAACCAAGATAGGGAATACATGCACTATCACCTACAGAATTCTACTTGATCTTGCTCTTCATGCCCCAGACAAGATCGAGGGGTTGATGCACGGACCATATACTTTCGGTTATCTACCCCTATGTTAGAGTGATTATTGCATTTCTGACTGTCTCGACTGCATCTCTTTCTTAGCGGTTGCAGCTCTAGGACTTTTGCATTTCTTGTGCTTCATCTGTAATCATGGACTACAGAACGTGAGGTTGCAAGATCGAAAACGTGACAGCTATCCAGCAGAAATATCATACAACTTCATTTTGCACGCGGGGACGAGGAAAAGGGAATAAACTGCATATCACTCAAGCGTTTTGATTCAAGGTCTGCATCTGCGGGTTGAATAACGCGTATACCATGATAGCATGAGAAGGGCCATCTTCAGTGTATATCTCTTTCAATAGCATGGACCTTCAATTTCGACTTTCGCTCTGCGATTGTATAAATCAATTATTGTGATCAAATGAATACCCAGACATGTAACTTGTGAACGTATCCAGCTCGACCAACTTTTCAACTTCACCTGCATCCAGATCAATCAAATCAAACACCTCACTCTCCACCTACTTGTATCTATTAACTAAACTCACACCTCACTTGCTACTTGTATCTTCACTAATCAAATCAAGTCAACCTAGTACAATCGTTTCCCTCACCTGAATTTCTATCAACTTCAAACCAAACTCACCTTTGACCTCACGAAACTGATATTTAACTCTTCATTTTCGATTTTTCCGAGGCCAAATCTGTGTCTTCCGGTCCTATCTTCAAGTACACAAACCCCAAGACCATGAAATTATCCCTGTAAATAATCCTCTACAAAACATCAACTTTCCAGAGTCCCATATCCTCGCACATTATAATTGTGAAAAGAGATTTCCAACTTTATCGATGCAGATTTTTGTTTGATACACGGCAATCAGCTTATTCCTAGCGCCATTTGAACCCTCATTTATACTAACGCGTCTTCTCCAAACCACTGTCTCCCTTACAACCCATTCCACAAATCCGCATCCTCTTCTGTTTTTTCTTATGCGTATGCGCCAAACTCATATTCTTCAGTTTCATAGGCTTGCGTACAATTCCATCTCTTCTCCCAAATCTTATTTTGATCTTTGAATTCCCGACATCTCCCTCGATCTTTAACCTTCTCCTACACTACCTTTGATATGCAGTCAACCACACATCTCTTGTAAAACAATTCTGTGTTGATATCGTAAGTTGAAGTAAGTCGCACACATATCCGAAACGATCAGCACAGTGTGAGATCTTATTCTAAACTTTTGGTTTGCTTAGGACTCTGTAAACCACCCCCACCACGCGTCTTGCGCCTGTAATTCTCCGCCGACCATCAGGAGACTACCCGCTATACACCCATCAAATTTTCAAGATGCCTGTAGTAAGTCTACCTATCTATATTGTTCTCACTAGAACTCCCTCAATCCCACTCCATCATCCCAAACCTAACCCTCCCCAGCTCATCATCGACCCATCCGGCGACTTCCACCTACAAGTTTTGGAAGTGGATTCCTTTGCCTCCACCATATTCCTCGTCTCTCGCAGCACCCTAGAGAAGCACTGCACCCATGACCTCGCCTCCGAAATCCACGATTCCCCCACCAATTCCCTCACCCTCTACGATGTCAACCTCTCTGCTATGGAAACCATCCTCCGAATCATCCACGGTGTTCTTGATCTCAACACCCATACCATCCCCAACATCCACTCAACATTCGATCAAGAAACCATCGCAACCCTCTACCACATCCTCGATCTCGGCATAAAATGGTTCAAGACCGAAGAACTCGAACCTTGGTTCTCCAAATTCTGGGCCGATCGCAGCGAAAACGAAATGTCCTTGTACGATATGAAAGTTATGTTGTACCCATCCTACATCTTCCGCCACGCGGAAGCCTTTGCGCGAATTACCAAATGTCTTGTTTTGGAGTGGAGAAGTGGCGAGATGCATGGATTGAATCCGCTGACGGGGCGTGCGGAATTTCGCTTCGAGCATAGGATTTTGAGTTAGTATTTTTGTCTCTTCGTTATAGAGAATGTTAGTTGATTTCGTGGATACAGAGCAACTCGTTCGTCTCAAGACTAGAATTCTCGAGCGTGAAATCACCAATAATCTCCTCGATTCACTGGATCATCTCTGCAACGAATTCTGCGAGGCAGGTGGAGAGTGCATGGTAGCATACAATAAGTCATTGAGAGACTGTCTCGTCATTCCTTCCATCGTGCGCAGAAATTGTTCCATCAGAGATATACTCGAGAGCGAAGGAGTGAACTTCTGGAATTGTGCCAGTCCATCTCACGCTTCTGATCACTGTGCAGAAACCTTATCCGGCAACCACATTGTGAAGATCAAAAAAAATGCATTGAATTTCTGGGAGGGAATGTGTATCGAATGCGTATTGCGTACATCCGGCGGACACATCAAGCAAGAACAATTTTGGGAAGACGGTCGACGCAAACGTTACGGAACCTCATGTCCCATTCCCCACAACTACCAGACGTGGAATTACAGCTACATGGGTCCATTCGAACTGATGTCAAAACATATAGCTGAGCAGAAAGAACGCGAGAAGAATAAAGAGCGTACGAAGCATGGAATGAAGTTTTCCGCCAAATCAGGATTTTCTTATGCTTCAGATTCACCCAAGCAATCTCGCAGACGTTCCTCTGTTAGTTTTTCTACTCCAGATGAACATGTCATCCAACAACAACAGAAGATTGCAGAATGGACTGCCAAGAACGAAGCTACGAAGGTGAAGGAAGCTGAAGCATCAACCAATCTTGACAGACCTAGAACTCAAGATACTACACGCTCTTTCAATACCAGCTCTCCCAAACCCCCATCTAAAAGCGCTACCCCTACCAAATTCGCCACTTTGGATGAAACTGCCCGTCTTCAACAAAAGAAAATCGCCGAATGGACAGCAAGAAATCTGGCCAACCAAGCTAGAATCAAGGAGGCTGAAGCAGCGGCAAAAGCTGAAGCTGAAGCCGAAGCTGCCGCTGGCTACACAGATGCCTACTTTGCGGCCAGATTTCCAGAATTAGCGAGCCTAGAATTCTACAACCACGATGACGACGACAACTTTATTCCCGTCAATACACCTCCTCCACCCGCTGCTAAGAAAGAACCCCTTTCTCAGAGCCAAGAAACCATCCACAAAGACGATACCATCAACACCACTCCAGTCCCCGCACAATCTCCAACCACCACCCCCAAAGAATCAAACCAGTCTTTCGAATTCCCCCAAGAAATGCACGCCTTCAACTCCATTCCCGTCAACAAAGCTGCTCCCAAGAACGATTGGATTGTACAGCGTTTGGCATTCTACAACAGCAACCGAGAAGGTGCACTGACTCATCAACGCATTGTAAATGGAGAGATGGCCATGGATCTCGATGGTTCGGATGAGGAATTGTGAACAATAGACTTCGACATGTATCTATTCCTCTTTTTTTCGGATGTTAGGTAATAGGGTTACGTCTTTGCTTCATTCTGCCAAGATAAATTTCGCTTGAGGGCCTCTTGTGGTGGCTTAGGCTTGCTTGCTAGTCTGTTCCGGTGTTGGTCTTTGAATTTCAATTGTTACAGTGGAGAATAGTATCATACTTGTACCACAAGATTCTGTTCCATCAGCCTTATTCTTTCATAACGGCATAGTAGCTGAGTAGTAGTTAGCTATACAATAAAAACTTTTCTTCCTCACCTTGAGCCCACATCACCCATGCCTAGCCGTGAATCTTCTCCAATCTTGCCTACGAAAATCACGAACTCTGAGAATTCTACTACTGGTTTAAAAGAAAAATTGAAATTTGGCTAGCCCGCATCTGCAATGATATCTTTGGTAGATATATGGTCTCCTCACTGGTCTAGTTTTAGCTACACAAACCTTTGAAGATTTCGCCCAAAATAAAAACGTTAACACTTCCGGTATCTTGAATCATAGAATCTCCTTATTATATGCAATGCGTATAATAAGCGGGCACTGGTCCCCAACATTTGTTTTCACTTCCCTAAATCGAATATATCCATCTTTGTAGAATAAAAAGTTACCTGCTAGAGCCTCTAGAGGCCTAGCCGTCCTATATAGTCTTAGACTGAACGTGGACGTAAATGAAATCAATCAATCAATCAATCCATACAAGCTTATCATCTCTCTCCTTGCTTCCGCCCTAGCTACCGGCTCTGTCAACCTTCAAACCAACACTCCTGTCATTTCGATCAAACAATCAGCTCATGGGTATCACTTGGTCCAAACTTCTCGCGGAATTCTTCGAGCCCGGAAGGTCGTCCACGCAAACAATGCCTATGTTTCTGGTCTTCTCCCCGAATATGCCAAGAACATCATTCTATGCAAAGGTATATGCTGCCATATTACAGTTTCCAAAGATGCTACTGCACCTCCTATCGGTTACTCCTATATTGTTCGTACTGAGGATGGAATTCTCGATTACCTTATTCCTAGATCTGATGGAAGTATCATTGTGGGTGGAGCTTCAGCAACATTTCGTTCCCATAAGGATCAATGGTATAACAATGTAGACGACGGCAAGTTAATTGAACCAACCATGAAAGAGAGGTACTACGAGAATTTCATGCAGCGCACCTTTCGTGGATGGGAAAAATCGGATGCTAAAATTGAGAGTATATGGACTGGTGGTAAATTATTCCCCTCCCCCAATGACTTTTTCTAAGCTCAAAGAAGCTGACCTGTCATATAGTAATGGGATACTCCTTCGATTCAAACCCTCACATTGGTCTCGTTCCACAAAAGTCTGACCAATTTATAATCGCAGGATTTAATGGCCATGGTATGCCTGTCATTTGGCTTGCGGCAAAGGGATTGGCAGAGATGTTGAGAACGGGAAAGTCCTTTGAAGAAGTTCGTGTTCCTATGCCTCTTCCTAAGTTGTCTAAGACAACTCAAGACAGAATTGATAGAGCTCAAAATGGTCCGTAGGGTGGTGATATTCTCATTTGAGAAGACGATCGCGAGATAGACTTTGGCGTAAGGAATTATAAAGTTGAAAAACAAAAGAATTGCTTTCGTTATTCTTTGTTACCGCCCATAATTATCGCAAATTTTCAAAGCTTCATGTTGTCAAACTTCATTATTCTTGAATTCTATCGTTGCCTATTTGTATGATATTCTGTTGCGAAACAAATACTCACCTAGTGCTAACAGTGAGACGGCAATTTTTGATATAATGGCAATGCTCATCTTTCTACCCATCGCGCAGTAAGTCAGAGGTAAAGCTGCTTCGTAAAAGTAATTAGACGGTACACGTCAAGCTAAAAGGTTGCAGCTAATGTATATCTGATGAGTGGTCTAGCCCAGGAGTAAATAGCTTTGGAGGATGAATCCAGGTCAATAAATCCAAAGATCTTGCCACCTTGGATTTTTTCCAAAATTTCGATATTCGAAGTTCTCCTGATGACTTTTATTAAACCGTACAAAGGTTCGAACATAGGTTGATAATAGTATACTGAAATCCATTGATATCTATTTGATATCTACATTATTACATCTTCGATCAAATTCAAAGATTACCGAGCTATGTTTGCCCCTTTCAAGTATTAATGTGAGGCAAGAGATAATGTTCATCGTTCCTTGGATGTTTGGGCTTATAAACCACCCGCAAAAAAAGCGCTGTCGACTCGCATATCATCTTAATGTATAGTTTTGAACTAACTTGAACTAATCGGCTCAGCAAAGCTGCTTATCTATATTTATTAACATTCGAGCAGGTTAATGTACAATGATCAAGAAGTCAAGACGATTGAAGCTACTGCAGCTACTCTAGCTAGGATATCCGAGGTACATGAGTTCAATTTTAAAGAAGGTTCAATCTATAATGCTATCCCCTAGACTACGGATTACAGCAAGTAAATATGACCCATACACAAATAAGAATATTAATAACTTTACAAATTATATCAAATATAAAAACTATTAAATTGTAATTTAAGATTGGAATTTAAAAAATTAATAATAATTAAAAAATCTATTTTAGATTTATATGCCTTATTTTTTTTTAAAAAAAAATTATATAATGTTTTTAAATCCTATTATATTTCATTTTCAAAATAATACAATTTATGATTTCAAGAACTCTTAGATTATAATACTTTGATTAGCTAATGAGATATTATAAGCGAAGCCGGCTGTAATCCGCAGTCTAGGGGATAGCTCATTCGAAATATTTGCAGATTGAGATTGATGTACGACTGATGAACTACTGAGAATAAGCTATCTAGATTCAAATTTTCAAGCAGCATTCTTCCAATCTGGGTGGGAGATCCAACCTCCATTTAACATACAGCTCATGCTAATTCCATTCATCTTGCATGCTCAGAATATCTAAGATGGTCAATTTACTTTGGGATATGGATCTTCCAATTATTTGGATTCAGTGCAGATAATTAACCGACGAATAACAAGCATAGCTTTACACTATTAGGAGTGTGCATTACCCACATTGTTTTAAAGCTTGTCTTGTATCCAAGTCATTCCTTTCATTTTTCTTTCTCCTTCTCTCTTCAAGTCCTCCTCTTATCCAGGAAGCTTTTTACTCGCCTGTCCCGTCAATCCATGCACCCACTGGTAGCCATACAAGAATCCGCAAAAGCTCGGAACTATAATTTTTCCGCGGGCTCAAGAATTTTACAACATATATATTACAATTAGATAGATACTACTAACGCTCTCCGAACCTTTGAACCCGTCTCTTGAATGTAAGCTCTCAACTATCCCGATGATGAAGTTTCTAGCCCTACTCTTCTAAATGTGAGGTAAAAAATTCGACCAATCGAGGTCTTGGAATATAATATCAGGCATTGCCCTCAAAGCGACAACACTCTCTCCTAAGACCAAGACTCTTGCTATGATATACCCAATGACGAATGGTCCATGGACAAGTAGCTTTCCCCAAGGTGGCAACATAGCAGCTACCTCTAAAACAGTTGAGGCCTCTTTCTTGAAAACTACTCTTCCAATGAAAGGTGCAAAGTGCGCCCCAAGCGGTAAAGCCAGAATAAACATGACGATTAACCCGAAATCCACAATATTTGCGAGCTCGTAGATCGAGAATTCTAGATGAGTTGGGAAAGGAATCTTCCATGCAATACCGATGTGAAGCCCATAGAACATAGCCTGGAAACATATCAAATACAGTGTGAGAATCCACCCGATTCCCTCAGCTGGGTGAATTGTGCTATTGGCAATTGTCTTACGTGCTATTTTTGGTGTTATTGGACGCTTACTCGGTCGTAAGTATTGCTGCACATTGAAAGTAGCCTTGAGCCCAAACCAAAACGGGGCAATAAGACTTTTCGAGTCTGGTGCTGGCCTTACAAAATCTAGCGGCGTTCGCTCGAAGCTTTCTGGATCGTGGCCTGGCATGCAGAGTTCTTCGGTAGTCTTATTTAAAGACAAAATCAAAGGTCTGGCTGGATCGAGCGGTTTGTTCCACCAGAAGAAGAATGTGTGCGTGGTACACAGAATAAAAGCTAAGGTTTCGAGCTCCACTGGGGTAATGTTGAGTCCTTCTACGCTCCGACCAAGACATGCTATACAGAACCATGCCATCTGAGCCATAGTTACTGCTCTCGCGAGCCCATCAGCTTTATTCACAGCTCGAATATCGCTGATTTCAATCGGAGGAAGCGATATGTAATTGTTTCTGATCAAGTGTGCCAGTTGATAGCTATCGATTGCAAAGTGGTCTGAGTCTTTGGGTGCTACGATTATCCCACCCATATCCGCGAAGAATCCGTGTCTGATCGTCCAATCATTATGACCTAACTCCCGAAATGTGCGGACAGATTGCTTCGCAGATATCCATTGTTCGGCTGCTAGAGCAACGAGAACCTCCGGAAAGAAGACGGCGAACATCTGCCATCGGAATTTGTATAACATCATGCGCCAGCCTCGTGAGCTTTGCTGTTCCGGTATGTTCAAGCATAAAGCGGTCCATGTACACAGCCAGATAGTGCTCAGGGAGCTCCAAATAATATTGATCGTCCCTCGGGTATTAGGGCTCGATACCCAGCCGCAGACGAGATTTTGGGATGGACAGACCGTTGTATTGAACAGTCCTTCGGAAAGCATTATTCTCTGTAACAATTAGCGGAGAACGACAAGCTAGATCTCAACACGGCAATATAATCGTGTAGAAAAAGAAGTAACGAGGTACTAATGTTAGCAAAACTTTGAGATCCACTTCACTAATCTTGTACAAAGCCCTTCTATACTCATATTCTCGGGAGCTGAAACATGGTCTCGGTTGTCGTTGTAACCCCGAAGGTTACAGTAGACCTCAAGAATTAGAATTAGAAAATTGCGGCGTGGAAGAGACTATTCAGTTGCATGATTCATGCCCTGAGAGTCGAAATCATGGCACAAATAGGGTGAGATGTTGTTAGTACTCCCTGGTGGTGCCAAAATTCTGCACAAATGCGCTAGTTATTATAACCTTAGCGCATCTGGATCCAGTTTATATCTCAAACTCCAAAAATCCCTACTTGATAGTTACCAATAAATTATTCAAGTCCCCAGTCGTCTGCTGACAAAACACTACTTAGGTGTGGTGTGTAGCTTCTATATATATTCTGGATAGTCACCCTATCCATATATGCACAGGCTCTGGTATTGGCCCAAGGGCACCGTGACAAATCTTCACTGAGGTCCTTTCACGCTTTTCATTGGCGTCTTCTTCGCTACCGACAGTATGAAAATTAAGCTTACTACGCACGCACCCTACCACTTAGAAGCATCCTGAATCGTTAAAAATTCGCAATCGATCAAAACCCAATCCTGAACCTTACTTCCAAGAATGATAATATAGCAGAAAACGTTCTTCATTACGATATTCTGGTGCGAAAATTAGTGGTGAGGTGTTGTGGTGCGGATTTGTAGTGGAGGCTTTGTTCAAGAAAAGGGGGAGGTTAGTACGAATGCAAGCGATTACAAAAGCGGTAAAATATCTTCATATACCCAGCTGTGGCTTATGATGACTGCATACAATGCTACCACACGTGTTTCACAATAGATAAGCCAATCAGTTGAATAATTTTCACTTTCTCCGAAATGCTGTAGCCGCCAGTAAATATCCCAGATGGTGCTATTATCACACTACTTCTTGCCTAGTATGATAATCCCGTTCTCAATTTCTCGTGGCTGGTTACAACAACTTCTAACAACTACAACAAACATACTATGTGCACGATGGGTAGCCATGAAACAGCAGTAAAGGCCGTCGCGGCTTCAGTTCGTGCCTTCTTTGCTCGAAAAGAATCATTCAGAATCTATCATGGATCGACAAATAGCACAAGACCAAATCATCAAAATCGCCTTGTTGATATCAGCAGCCTCAAAAACGTGTTGAACATTGACCCGTTAGCTCGTACAGCACTCGTTGAGCCGAATGTTCCCATGGATCGGCTTATCGAAGCGACTTTAAAACATGATCTCATACCGCCAGTAGTGATGGAATTCCCTGGTATCACTGTCGGTGGAGGGTATGCGGGATCTGCTGGGGAAAGCAGCTCATTCAAATACGGATATTTTGACCAAACTATCAATTCCGTCGAAATGATACTTGCAAATGGAGAAGTTGTCACCGCATCTCGTTCCCAAAATGCGGATCTATTTAAAGGAGCTGCTGGTGCAATGGGCACTTTGGGAATAGCCACATTGATCGAATTGCAGCTCATCCCTGCCAAGAAATTTGTTCAGCTGACTTATGAGCGAAAATCCTCGGTTCTTGAGACAATTGAAGGGGTCAAGAAAGAAATTGGAAATTCCACCAATGACTATGTTGATGGTATCTTGTTCTCCAAAGATCTTGGCGTAGTGATGACTGGGAAATTAACAGATGATAAGCCAGCTACTATGAAAGAGCAATCATTTAGTCATGCTAGAGATCCCTGGTTTCATCTACACATCCAAGAGCGAATGAATAGCGAATCTCAGAAGTTTTGCGTTGACTATATACCATTGGGCGAATACTTATTCCGATGGGACAGAGGTGGATTCTGGATGGGTCATCAAGCATTTCAATACTTTCCGTTCGTTCCATTCAATCGATGGTCTCGATGGTTCCTAGACGATTTTATGCACACCCGGATGCTATATCGTGCTCTACATGGTACTGGCCACTCATTCGAGCATATCGTACAGGACCTTTCACTTCCATATTCTACAGCGGAGGAATTCATTGACTACTCAGCAGCTGAGTTAAACATATGGCCTCTGTGGCTATGTCCTTTACGAGAGATGCAAGCGCCAACATTTCATCCCTCAACTACATTACCGGGTCCAGGTAACGATGCAAAACCAATGCTCAACATTGGTCTCTGGGGTCCAGGATCCAAGGACCGAGACAAGTTCTTCCGGCAAAATCGACAATTGGAGAAGAAACTTGCGGATTTGGGGGGCTTCAAAGTTCTATACTCTCACACTTATTATACGGAGACAGAATTCTGGGAGCTATATGACAGGAAATGGTACGAAGAATTGCGGTCAAAGTACTCAGCTACATCTTTGCCTACTGTTTACGAGAAAGTAAAGGTAGATATGTCCAAATTCTCGGGGGTCAAGTTATCATGGTATGAGTGGATATTGAAACTATGGCCGGTAGCTGGATTGGTGGGGATCATGTCTGCTATACGTAGTAGAGACTACTTGTTGCATAGGAAGCCGCTATGGAGAGAGAGAATGACCACCCAGAAGCCTTGAAGTGATTGTTACCGGAAACAGATTTTTGATAGTTGAAATAATTAGTTTGGACGTCCTATCTATAAAATGCGAATACCATTGGATTGAAATCTGGCTAGAGTAGGCACTTTTTCAAATGCTGAATTGAATACAAAAAATGCAATTCGAATAATTTTGAAATATCGAATCGCCTGTATCATGCCTACGCACCTGGAGATATGCACCGAGCATGAAGATGCTGCTTTTTTGTAAACATACCGCATTTCACAACTCTATTTTTCTGAATGTCTCTCGCTTGTTTCTAACTCTTACTTGTCTGATTCACGGAAAACTCTGATTTTCTTCATTCATGTTTCTACTCTGGAGAAATCGAATCCAATCGAATTCGCAGTCTTATAATGAAATATGAACTATGACATGAGAGTATCATCCAATACTTATGTTGAATGATTTTGAAAGTTCCGATGCTATATGAACATTCTGTTATTCAATCTAGTTTCGCCGTTGTCTAGGTATTTGAGGTCAAAAAATACATCCCGTCTACAAATTGTGATGAACCGAGAACGAGTCTTTAAATTGCTTCTTGAGATGAAGAAGCTTTTTATTCAACACGTGTGATCTTGACAAGGACTTCCTCTCCAGATTTCGCCTCAGGCTCGCGAAAGAAGGTTATTAAGGGGAATAGGTGAGACATTATTTTTTATGCCTGATCTACCACTGGTTCAGTCAAACCTGCATAATTTAGGCAGCCCGCCACATTAATGGATGAAGTCAGTGTGGCTCAATTGTGGCTCTTGTTTTCTACCTAGCACCTGGTCAGCTGAATTCAATAACTTCAATACTGGAACTTATGTCAGTGTGATTTAGACATCGTCTCATGAATGAGAACAGATTGTTTGAACTTCATATCAATATGCTCTAGCTATCAACGGCACTTTTTTGAAATAATTGTTTGAGCTTTTATTCCCTCGTTTGGGCGCTGTTGGTTACTCTGCAATGCACAACCCGACTTGACCTCATATTCAGCCTCATTTTGATCATATAAACAAGATTTTCCTCTTCAATTAGATGAGAATGGGTCCTTACAAATACACCCAGCTGGAAAGGGGAAATGACGAGATCAGACTATTGAGTCTAATGCCAGGCGCACAAGACGACAGCATCTCCATGCACATTTTCCACGTACCCCTAGCCAACTCACCGAGAGAGACTGGTGAAATCAAGAGACTTTCACTTGAAGAACTGCAAAGAACTCTTCCGGACGATATGTATGCTGTGAAAACAATCGATGGACGATACATCTTCAAACACCGCAATGGAAATCTAAATTCGTGGGACCTACCAGATCCAAATCTTGATCGTGCTCTTTATGATTTGCCGAAACATGTAAGTTTTCCGGAAAATAAACCTAAATATGAAGCTCTTTCATATATCTGGGGGTCTGCCGAAAATCCAATCACAGCACATGTGTTGGGCGAAAGTTTGGCAACGATACAAATTGGGGCTTCTCTTGCTGTTGCACTTAGACAATTAAGATACACGGATAAGCCACGAATATTGTGGATAGACTCTATCTGTATCAATCAAAGTGACATGTCCGAGCGAAGCCACGAAATAGGACGCATGAGAAACATCTTCTCTTTCGCGGATCGAACTATCATCTGGCTTGGCGAAGAAGCTGACGATAGTACAAGCACTTTATCTACTATTGAGCATTTTGCCAGACAGGTCGAGTACATAGGAGGAGGATTAGTTGCATACGCGCCTGGAACTAAGTTAATGGAATGGAGACACTCGAACTTTCATCTGCCGTATGACACCAAAACATGGTCATCCATAAGAGCTCTCTTCCAGAGGCCTTGGTTCAGTCGAGTCTGGGTCTTACAGGAAGCCTTACTTGGCGATCAGGGATCATCAGTACAGTGCGGTAATACCTCTATTCCTTTCAGTGCTCTTCGAAAAGCAATGTTGGTGCTTGGGAGAAAGGTCACGACACCAAGCGACATCCGCTCCCAATTATTGTCGTACGCTCCTGGAGTTCTGCCTGACTCTATGAGAGAGTTACCCGAGCTTCTGAGATGGGCTAAGCATCGCAACTGCAGCGATCCTCGTGATAAAATATATGGGGTACTGGGCTTAGTGTCGCCTTTGATTGCCGAAGGAATTACGTGCGACTATTCTATTCCTGTGGCAGAAGTGTATAAGAGTGCGGTACTCAGTCATATCACTGTCACAAAGCGTCTGTACTTGCTGCAACACAGTCGGCTGATCCAAAGATTTGAAGATGGACCATCATGGGTTCCGAATTGGTCTTTCGAAGATAAAAGTATTATGATCGGTATTGTCTTGGGGAGATATGCAGCGGGTTCTTCCTCTGCAGTAACAGATTATCAAGCGCCGACGACTTTAGAAGTCACCGGCGTTTTTTGCACAAGAATTACTTCAGTTAAAACGAAATCTTCCGGAAATGCAAGGGAAACTTTCCAAGCTATTCGTGGCTGGGAGCCCGAGGGTCTCAGCTCTAGAGACTATATCGCGGGCGGTTCTTTGATTGATGCATTCCTCCAAACTATTTATCAAGGGCGTACTAAGGAAAGATATCCCGGACTTCGTATTCCACATTCTTGGGAGCTCCGCCGAAGCTACTTAGAAGCTGTTGATAAAGATAATAAAGATCAAGATGCGATACTAAATTATGTTTACGGATTGAATTTTGGTCCCACGGCATTCATAACAACAGAAGAGGGATATATGGGAATAGGACCACTTGGAGTTGAGGAAGGTAAGGCTTGATTCACCAGCTCCAAACCTCTTCAACAGAGCTGATAGTACAAGGTGACTATGTATGTGTACTATTAGGAACCGAACTTCCAATAGTTCTACGCCCAACACCAGCTGGACAGTTTCTAGTTGTAGGATCCTACTTCATTCATGGTTTAATGGACGGAGAAGCTCTGCTTGGTCCTATCCCAAGTCCATGGAAAACAGAACTATACCGAAGGAAAGATTCAGGGTACTCAACTCACTTTGTCAACCCGAACGAAAAAACACTCGATGACCCACGTCTCTCCCCTCTACCCTCTGAATGGATAGAAGTCAATAGAGATGACGGTCCATGGCCTATCAGCAAGTCATATTTCAAACATCTTGTGACAGGCGAGACGATGGATTCTGATCCTAGGATGCTTCCACAAGCATTGATGGAAAGAGGTGTGAAACTGCGGAAATTCAGGCTCGTGTAGTTTTCCAAGAAAGTAAGTAAGTTCTAGCTGAGTAAAGCACGAACGCCACGAACGAGTTTTATTCAATGACTCTTTATGGGTTATTGTTCTCGTAAATTTGACCTTTAATTGCAATATCTTGAGTACTAACAAGTATACAAAACATTTCAATCTCTAATTGTGATTTAGTTTATCATTCCACCACTAAGATCACTTCCACCTGCCGATAATTGGTCGAGTCAAGAACTTCAAGGCATTTACTCTTCAGAGACGTGAACTCCTTCACATTGCTTATAGTTGATTTGGGAAAACGCAAAACAGCGGCACTCTTCAACTCTACTCACAGTATATACAGTCTAAAAGAGAATAAAGTTGCACCTATTTCGCCTATGCTAATCATCTGGCCTATCATATAATGTATAAAGACACCGTGGAGTGGCTGGTATTTGCCCCGCAGAAGCTACTGACTGATCTTTAGAAAAGTAAATGATGTCATTCAATGTCAATGCAACCGAGATTTATTGTGTCATGAATATATTCAATATTCGTTTTCACGCGATTCTTAACCATCATTAGATAGAATGGAACGATTCGGTGTATATTCATTCCTAAACCGATCCAAACACAGTAGTGAATTCATACAGCGCTCGAAAAGCTTAGCGTCGGTTGTCTCTTGAATTTCTGGTTAAAAGCTTTCAGATTCCCCAACATTTCTTCGTCTTTTTACAATTCCCATAATCAACTTCTTACCTGCCAGAAGGTCAACAATTCCCCAAGCGTTCGACTGAAAATTCCTTTTGAATACAAACAAACACATTCAATTCTGCATCAACAAAGACATCAGAAACATGGTTAACAAAAAGTGTTCATTGTGCACAGACAGCATCACTGAAAGCATGGTGAACATGGATATCGAAAAGGTCTCATTTAGCACAGCCAGTAACATCACTGATGGCAAGGCAACTCCAGTCCCTGTTGTCGCTCGTCAATCCTGGTTCAAGCGACTAGCTCTACGCTTATTCCCAAAGACTCGAAGCGGCGCTGGTATGAGCAATTGTTTTGGTTCACATAACAATAGCTCATCTCAATCTCTTGCGAATAAGCTAGTAACCTTGAAAGCCGCCCAAGAGAAGGTATTAGCGACGCCTCCTGACCTTATTGTCTTCCAGAAGTTTGAGTATGTAGACCTTTCACTTTAAGAATGAATGTAGCTAACAGCCAGCAACCATAGTGCTCCGGGAAAGTTTCCTATATTGGGTCACTATGCAATTCAAACAAAGGACGAAGCATATTATTTGATCAGAAAAGAATTGATTCATCAAAGATCGAGACCCTTATTTGACAAGGTATTTGGCAAGGGTTCATTGAAGGACATCAGTGCATTTCCCGCAGCAATCCTGCCCGACTTCGGTAACCTCCCTTTGGGGGTATTTGTCGAGTGGACTTACGATCGTGGCATTAGATCCATGCAAAGTATTGGAGATCGAGATCCCGACGAGGAAGAACTCTCTCCACTTGAGAAGATTGCATTTATAGATTACTTCACGAAAATTCTTTTCTTTGCCAACAGATACTCTCTCTATGAATTTCAAGATGATTTCCTCGAATTATTCATCCATTATTTGAAAGACGATACTTCACCAATGGATATAGTCCATATTCGCCGGTTTCACAAGCAACTATCGCAAGATTCAAAGATCCGTGTCTTCTTGGTTAATTGGGTTGCTTTCATCATTCAAGAAATCGATGCTTCAGGAAATTTGAATAGAAGAGATGCAGGATTGCACTGTGCCCTCGCATTTAACAAGAGAGATACCCTTGTTGAGCTACTTCACTTGCTTGAGGGCGACAAGATTCGACCGCCACATGGAAAGTTTTCTGACCCTCGGTATGCCCCAGGTTGTGTTTATCACCACCACGGCAGTGGAGAAAAGTGTCCCCACAGAATTTCTGCTGTCTCTTTTGTCGAAAAGTATCTCGATTAAGAAGCATAATCCCGGGGGTTGGAGCTATGATGGGATTGATAAGGTTAGCAGGATAATGGGAGGATGGGAGCAAGGGATGCGGAACTAGGAATATCTGATCATCGTATGGGCATTCATTTTGCGATTGTTTCCAGGCAGATATCAGCATTTGCTATATTTAGGGAAATGAAAGCTTCCTGGAAAGGAACTAATGCTAAAGCAATTACATACCAATAACCTATTTTGCAGGTTCATATGAGTGATTAATAAGGCGTGAACTTACCTATGGTGATTGATATTCATGTTTCTCTCCCAGTAGTTAGAATCTTGCGACTGTACCATTACCGACATCGCATATATGTATGAAGGGAAACTCGTAGACATTTTAATCGGAACTGTTTCTGAATCATATTCGTCAATTCATTTCAGAATTCTTCCCAACCCACGTCAAACTCACCTACTTAGACAGCTTTGACTGCATACCATTTGCGTTTCTTTTCTTCTACCCACCTCAAACTTAGATAGTCTCCGAATCTTCTTAACCAGTACATATTTTTTCTGTATCCTGAGCTTCTTCCCAACCATCACTTACCAGACACTCGCACCTTAACACAACAGCCTCCACTGCACATGGGCCCCCAAGCTCAACGTAAACAAGTAGTAGAAAAGCCGCACCATGAAGAAATCCTGTACATCGCATCGCACGTCTCTGCAGTGCCCTTCCCTTAATCCTAAGCATTTCACATTCTCATTTCCCCACTATCTTCCCATCAGATCATCTATCATCACCCCCACCCCCTACCTAATACAATCTTCACACCTTCTCATCCCAACCTCAAACCACGTGTCCTCACGTGGCAAACTAACCCAACACACCCCTTTGTTGCACATCTAGAAAAATGACATTTTGGACCAAACCTTTCAAATTCTCAAAGTAACTAAACTTCAAAATCATTTCATCTCGTTTTCCAAACGCATCCTTCTTTACACGTCACCGCTGCCTTCTACCCATGTTCGCTTGACTCTCTTTCTAAAGCCTCGTCACTGCTCCGTGACCATACCTCATTGAACTGAATACTCAGTCTGATAGTGACCTCGAACACTATCCACACACTTTAACTCCACCTCTCTACTATGATTCTATTCTCGAATCTAACCTCAACTTCAACCTCAACCTAATCATCGTTCTGTTTCGCCATCAACACACTTAATACACCCGAACTCAAAAGGATTCTCAAAGTAGCATTTCTTTTAAATACTCTCCTCAATACCCTTCTAGTCCTATAGCAGTAATTTAGACAACGCGGATACAAAAGATCAGCATTGACATGAGCTTCAAAATAAACATGTCTTCACCCCTTTCGCTTGTCTATTACCGACACCACTCTTCGTTAATCGGATTTCTTCTCTCTCTTGTAAATTACCCTCCAAATTACCAATAAAATCCAACCAACTACTAATAATACCCCCCCCCAATTCACCAAACCAACCTCCCCAGTCCATAAACCATAACTCCTATCTACCAAGAGGATTTCTCACCCCCTAAAATCCCCATCATTCACATCTCTACATCCAAACTAATCTCACCCTTATCCATATTTTCAGTCATCCTCTTTCCAGCCCGACAATATCCAACTGAATAGATTAAACACAGAGGCTCAAATCCCATCAGTTATCTCACCACCTCACCACCTCATTATCTCATTATCTCATTACTTTATTACCTCATTACTTCATTACCTTACTATCTCACCACACCTCCCCTCCCACCTAAATCTCCCCCTTTCCAGCACACCTCAGCTCCCGCCACCATACCCAAACCAGGGAGTACAGAAGCCACCCCAATACCTCCCACTCCCCCTCTACTTCCTCTACTCCCACCTTCACCCTCCCCCAAATCTAATCCACCCAAATCCCATCCCAACAATCCACCATCAAATCCTCCCACCCCATACCATATAATGCCCTTAGAGCTTACCTAATATCTACCTATACACCACAAAAACCAACCAACCCACCCCAACCCAACTCATTCTCTTCATCTATCTCCCTACCCTACCCCACAATCAACCGCACAAACAACATCCCTCAATCCAAGCCAATTCTTCACTCTCCATTACGAAGCAGCGCCAAATAGATTCTAAACTTTCCTTTCCTTTCCTCTCCTTTCCTTTCCTTTCCTTTCCTTTCCTTTCCTTTCCTTTCCTCTCCTTTCCTTTCCGTTCCTTTCCTTTCCTCTCCTCTCCTTTCATTACCTAGTCAATCAACCAATCAACCAACCAACCAATCGATTTATCTCCATCCCATCCCATCCCATCCCACTCACTCCTCATTTGATCCATTTTCCACTCCATGTATATATTTATTCATTTCTTCCCTGTATCTTCTAGCTTCTATCTACCTGATATCCTCTAAATTTAACAATCATACCCGACGCCACATTCAATTCGCATTGCGCTCTATTCCATTCCACTTCTCGTTCCAATCTCGGTTCCAATTCCCATTTCACTTCGCTTCCAGCGCCTACCTATCATCGTCCATTTTCTACCCACCCATCCTCTCCCCTCTCTCTCCCTTTTTTGCTCCTCTCCCCCTTTGTCCCTCCCCCCTTTGCCCCTCCAATCTTCTATACCCCAGCTTCCCAAGCTTCCCAGTTCTTTCTCCTCTCTTTCTTTATCTCTTTTTTTATTCAAAAGCTATTATCAAAACCTATTACCTATTCATCTATTACCCATCCATCCATCCATCCATTCATTACCCATTACCCATCATCAACATAAACACCAATATAACACCATTCTAAACACCAATCTAAACACCAACAAACCCAACAAATCACAACTCCCCTCTTTCTCTTTTTTCCTTTTTTCCTTTCCCAAATCCCTCTTTTTCAACTCTTCAAATTTTCAAATTTATATATTATTCATCTATTTATCTATTTATTTCATAATTACCTATTCATAGTTCATAATTGATCATCCACTCCTCTCCATCCTTTTCCCGCCATCCAACTCTAAATCCTTTTCCCTTTTTCCCCTCCCCATTCCTTCACCTATTCAACTCAACTCAACTCCCACCTCTACTTCCCCTCTACACCCCCCTTTGCCCCTCCTCTTTTCCACCTCCCAACATATCACCTATTCAACTCCTCAACTCCCCCTCTCTCTCCCCCCTTTGCCCCTCCCCAACCCTAAAAACTCAATATTCAGAAAACTCAACATCCAGAAATCCAGAAATTCAGAACTTCACAAATTGGAATCCTCTCCCCCTTCTTTTCCTTTCTTTAACTATTCTATTCATCTATTCATTATTCATCTATCTATTATCAATATCAATCTAATATAAATATTAATCTAAATATCATTATTCATCTACCCATCTACCCATCTACCCCCTCCCCATCCATCAATCAATCCAATCAACCAACCAACCAACCAACCAACCAACCATCAGTCCAACCATTAATCCAAACTCTTATTCATTACCCATCATCCTTTCCTCCTTTCCTCCTCTTATTTCCTCTTCTTATTTCACATCAAATCAACATTAACATTAACATCAACATATCATACCCCTATCCCTATCCCTATCTCATTCTCTCACAACACACAACTCACAACCTATAACATACAGCACACAATACACAGGACACAACAAATATGGAACACACAGCACACAACACACAACTCCCAACTCACAACTCACAACCTATAACATACAGCACACAGCACAACACACAAACCACAGCACAGCACACATTTCAACCCTCAACCCACACACTTCAATCCTCCCCGCATATACATCACAAACACATATCAAAACATCTCATCTCATTTCATTTTCATCTTCATTTTAATTATTCATTCCATTCCATTCCATTACAAAGCAAAAGTTAGGTAGGTAGGTAGGTAGGTAGGTAGTTACGTACGTACTTAAATGAGATCAGGCCTTCCCTTGCCCTACTCAATTAAGTTCAAGATAAAAAAAAGAAAAAGAAAACCACGCGCAAAAAAGAACAGATCAAAGTAAAGTCAAAATAAAAAAAAGGAAAAAAACAACTAAAGAAGTCTCTCGAGCTATCATAATAAATACAGAGTATTGATCCACCCCCCAGAAAGTTTTCGGATGAAGAAACGCAGGTAGACTTTTATCTGAAGCCATATGAAAATAAAAAAACTTATAGTAGAAACCAATCTCTCTGTAAGCATGATGGTCTTTCGTCTTGTCTCTTGCATTTTTATCCTCTTCCCTTTCGGTCATTCTCATGTGCAAAAATAAAACTCCTCGGGATACCACTCATTCTTGAATGCAAGACCTCCATTATGGCATTTATGACCTTTGCCTCGCAGAAGCAATGCCGCGCCCGAAATATCACCCTTCACCCGATCGCTCGCTTCTTCAACTGCCAAATATTAAGGATCAATGATTAAAGAGACATGAATTGAAAAGTAAAGTATCGGTTGTGTCGTGTCGGTACCATCATTCAAAGGCAGGCCCTGGTTATTGAAAGGAGTTCACCCCTTAACGGAGTGAGAATCCCTTCCTCTTGCCTTCCTTTTCTATTGGTCTTCCACTCTCGACTCTGGATTTCTTCTCCTCCAATTCTTGACGTTGACGCTCGAGTTGTTCCTTCATCTCGCGATGTCGTGCGTACAACTCTTCTTCGCTTTGCTTCAGCTTGCTCTCCTTCTCTGCGACCTTTTGTTGGAAAACCATCTTCATCTCGGCCTCCATCTTGGCAAGCTTTTGCTCGTGCAATTGACGCTCCTCTTCTTGCTTGACAGCTGGGTTGACCTCCTTGAAGACATTTGGATCTTGAGTAACACCCATAGCAGTGAGCTTCTCCGATCTGTAGTTCTCGTACAAAGCATTGTTGGTGTGTTCCTTGAGCTCCTCCATGTGGGTTCGGATGAGCATTTGTCTGAGCTTGACGAAATCGCAGTGCTCCTCATTGTCAACTTCAATGGTACCCCATGGGTATTTACGTCCGCGAACTTTACGTCCCTCGCTGTTTGTAATCTCGGAATTGGCACCAACAACTGCGAAAGGTACCTTGTCCATAATCTCCTTGTTCTCGGCAATTGTCTCCTCGTCATCTTTTTCGTAATGTGGACCCTCGAAGATTTGGATATCGTGGTGCTTGATGTCAGCAAGGATCTAGAGCATGATTAGCGTGAGTTTCAAGATTTGCAATGGGAACCCTTACTCTGAACTTGAAGGCGGCGATTTCTTCATCAGTCAATGTATCAGCCTTAGCAATAACTGGAATCAAGTTGACCTTGGTATGAAGTCTACGCATAACTTCAATGTCCAAAGGCTTCAATGCATGGCCAGTTGGTTGAATGAAGTATACACAAGCATGAACACGGTTATCAACAATGTTCATTCTGTTGACCTTGTTCTCAGCATCCAAATAAGCATCGAAACGTTGTTCAATGTTATCAACAATTGGTCGCCAAGACTCATCATTGTTGACGAAATCACCAAAACCTGGGGTATCAACGACAGTCAAACGTAAACGAACACCATTCTCCTCAATATCAGCGCTAATAGATTGGATAGAAACGGTTTTTGGGATAATATCGAGGGAAGGTCCTTTACGTTCTCTTGGTGGGTATAAGGAAGTGTTGAAAAGAGTGTTGACCAAAGTCGACTTTCCGAGTCCAGACTCACCTATTCAGGAGTTAGCATATACCAAATATTGATTCAGAGAAGCGGCACACGTACCAACAACCATGACATTGAAGTTGAAACCCTTTCTGACACTCTTGCGGTGCCATTGATTTGGTAAATTTGCAAATCCAACATATCCAGTCAACTTTCTTCGAACAATGTTCTTCATGTCGCATGCTTGTTGAGCTGCGATCTTTGGATCTGTTGAGCTGACAGTCATTGGAATTTCTAATGGGGATGATGGTGCTCCGTTTGGAATTGGTGAAGACCGGGTAGGGGCCATTGGGGCTCCGTTAGTAGCTGTGTAGAGAGGTAAAATGTCAGCCCAGTCATTTGAAGTAGTGCTATAATTTTTAGAAGCCTGTTGTAGCTTCTCTACAACCCACAACTCCATTGACTCATGGTGGTCCATGGAAATTTGTTCTAAACTCGGAGCTTCTTCAACATCCAGCATGCTTCTAAATTGGGCGCGAATACGTTCTGCTCCTCGCTGATGGCGATGCAAGCTTCCAGGGTATTGACGCTGTTCGATGCTATCTAACGATTGCTTAGGCAACGAGGTGCTCTTCGACAGGCTCTCGGATCGAATTACAGAGCATTCCTTATCTTCCGTGTGGGATCCAGGGGCTGGAGCAGAAGATTTCTTGGAGATGATGAGATTCCAGTGACCACTTGTATTTGGCTTCATGGCTGGCATATCTTGATGATGAAACATCTTGTGACAGGTTACAGATGGCTTCTCAACTCGTTGACTTGGATTTCGAAATGTGCGAATCTATCAGACTCGAGATTGGAAGCTCTGGAGTTGCAACAATCGTGTGTTTGGAATAATTGTCGGGATGATAGATGGTGCAGTGCGGATTCGAAGAATTGAAAAACCAACCAATTGTCGATGGAGTTGTTGACAGTCTGACGATGCCATTTCCTCCCATAGTATTGACTGCCTCGAAAATGAAATAAATTGCTTACCCATTGTTCTGATTGATGTAGAAGGATCGAAGGTGGTTGTTTTCGTGAAGAAAGAAGGTGGGAGGTTGTAAACTCTGTTGGCACCACAAGATGGGAGAAATCAGCTTCGATGCACGCAAAGATGGTCGCAGACAAGGTAGTTGAGATGGAAGAGATCAAAGTCAATGGACAAGTCTCGGGGGAGGGCAAATGGAAGATTTGAAGGTATTTTGAGAGATCGAGGGATTGATTCGATGGGATGATGTCCAAATCATGCAGGAATACGAATAATAGCACGTACAGATATTAATTCTTTGATCCTCAACAAGTATTGGTTCGCGTGGTCTTTTATTGCGGATCAAGATATGAATAGATAAAATTGGCCAAGTAAGAGTGTTTACTCTGGAAGTTGTTGAAAGGTTACGATACCGGTTGGTAAAGGGAATAGAAAGAAGATTGAAGAAAATAGAAGAAAAAGATGGGAGAGTAAACGATTGTCGATTGTCGTGTAGTGAATGTAAAATGTGATGTCGATGGATGGTAGAGAAGGCGAAAAAAGTTGTGTGTAGGTTAAAAGGTTGGTAAGGGTGGTAAGGGTGGTAAGGTTGTCAAGGTCGCACCGGTAAATGGGACTACTCTACTACGAGGTAACTAGTATAGTAGGTACAGTAGGTAGGTAGGTAGGTAGGTACAGGAGGGATAGTATTCTATGTATTCTATCTATGTATTCTATATTATGATCCAGTTGAATGTTGGCTTGGGTCTGGTGGCTGTCTGGCCGTTGATGACTGGCTGATTCTTTTTTTCTCTACGATACTTCTCTCGAATCATTGCTTGCTCTAGGTACATACAAGTAAAGGAACGTCTGGCTTGACTTGGTGTTCCCACTTGATAGCAAAAGGGGTTATTTTTTGGGGCGCTGGGGTTCTTTGGGCTTGGGATGAATCGACTGGGTATAATTACTTGGGGAAAAGGGTCAAGGCCAAAAAAGCTTTATCATTAAGATTAACACGCGCTTCTTCTTGGGGGGGTAGGGGGGTAAGGGGAAACTGGTCATTTAACGGGTAGATGATATTGGGAAACGATGAATTTATTGTAAGTGGATGTTACCTGGGTAGGTATTTGTATCTCGGTGCATAAAATCATACATGGTTCGATTACGTGCCTGGGGATTTTTATAAGGTTATTTATTGAGTGGTGAGTCTACTCGTCCCTGTGTACCTAGGTAGGTATTGACAATCTGGATGAATGATAGACACCACCAGTGCACCAGGTACGTACATTTAAAGTAAGCAGTGAATAAGTCGTGAGTAGTGATTGACCAGTGGTCTGTGGGAGGGAGGGAATGAAATGAGCATATAATACAATAAACCACAAGAAAGAAGTACAAAAGATTCCATCACACCCCATTGGAAGCCTTGAAGTGAAGATGTTGGGAGTTGTTGGTTGTGGGTTGCACGTTGCAGGTTGCACGTTGCAAATCATAAACGGTAAGTGGGAGGTGATTCAGGGGCATATATTGAAGATATAAACATGAGGGAAAAGGGCGAGTATTCTATCCAATTGTATGGTCAACGACATATACATTGATACTCAGTACCTCTCTACAACTGTATCGGTACTCCTACTCTATCCTCCCGGTCTGGTACACACCGCAAGCATCTCTCATCACATCAATCCGATATGTTGGGAGTATCGACGATAAAGTGCTCACTGTCCAATGCCAGTATCTCAGTGTTGGTGAGTAGCTCCCAATATGTATCAGATTTGGTGATCCTCCAGTGATCTTTCAAGTATAGAACAATGGACCGACGGGCTTTATCAAATCACATTCGTCGTCGGTTGAATCAGTGCCAGCTAATTATATCCTACTCCTACTCCTACTCCTGCTGCTGCTGCTAGACCATTAAGGAATAACAAGTCACAAGTACTTCATGTTGTGTATCGAGTATTGATTTGATACCATGGACTCCTATTTTGGGTCTCGATACCTCAACATTGATGAATCTACCATTGACCTACCTCGTATCTACCTAGTACCTAGTACTCAACAATTGCTTCTTCTTCCCTTTCCGATCTCTTCCTATAGCTGGGTACATTATCTCGAGATTATCTCCTCCTTTGCTTCTCAAGTTTCCCCTTCTTTTTCCATCTCTCCTCCTCCTCCATCATAATCATCAAATAATGTGTTGGTCTCCCCACGAATTATCATTTGACTAGGTAAGCTCCCTCAAGCTTCCTCATTTGTCCTCTGTCTGTGCAACCCCCCAATGTAACCAAATTCTCCACTGCCGGTGCAGGATTTCTTGGGTCTAGTATCTACACGTGACCATCGGTCCCTGACAGTCCCAGATATCCGTCTTGTCCTGACTTGGTAACCACTAAGCCGCATTGAGCAGAGTGTCTCACTTTAGTCAATTTCCTAGTGCCGTTCCTCTTAGCCTCACCATCACTATCAATTTCTGTGTTTCCTCAATTGGTTCAACAACAAACAAAAAGTGGAATTATTCAAAAGCCCTTTGGAGAAGCTTCATGATAGCCGCATCTGTGAGTATCCAAAAATATCTATTTGGTGGAGAAGATGTGAAGCGAATTGAAAAGGAGGTTACAGTCAAGCAGACGACGAGGTCTGTTTACAAATTTACCCTCATTTCATACCTCTATCAATAGTTACTGACGTGTTTTCGCCCTTCAATGTAGATCGCAATCCCCCCAAACATAACTTCCGAATTGCATGGTTATACATACAAGGATAGGCACAAACGGAGGATAAACGTCTTTTCGGTGCATTACTGGAACTTGACGAAGGGATTCATTCATCAATCATTTGTTTCCCTTTGGAGAAGTCGTTGATATAAGCCATGTTTATACTTTCCCTTGAAACTTTCAGTGTCAAAATACATTCCAACGACATCGGGATGTTCTTTTGAAACCGGCTGTCATTCGAACTTTAATTGGTGGTGGAATCTGTGCTCACCATACCAAAATTGGTTAAGGCTAAGCCTCCATGAAGGGGTAAAAAGGTCAAGTCGAACATGTGGATTGAATTTTGCGACTTCAATTTTGGCATTGAACGATTTCTTTTTGTATCTTTTGTTTTCATCTTCTACAAGAAGGATGACCTAAGAGGTCTGCGGGCCGTAGAAATTCTCTTCTTACACCACTTTATCAGCGCACAACCTCGATTGTTCTCTCTCCCGGAATCATCGTGTTTCGTTGTACTAAGTTTAGCTACTTTATTTGTTGCCCGAGTGGGAATCATGAGACTCACTTGACTCGCATGAAATTGCTGCATGCCTGATACTGTTGAACTAGTCACCCAAGCTATCAAAGGGTGTCAATGAATTCTGGCAGACCTATGCTTGTCATGCCTTTTATGTGAATGTTGGATTTTCTGCCTTACCCGCTCGTCATCCTAAATTTGATTATTTTCAAAGAAATATGATGACTAGACGAGCATCTTGTTTAGAATCAGAAAATAAATTTCTCATTACATAACCTTCCCTTGATCAATTCTTCTATGTGGGTTCCGGGGCTGAAAATCACTCGACACAGGTGCTCCGAAATTACTAATCTGTTTTTTCGATCGTTTCATTCACATATTCCTGCAGTGAAAGACCATTACATAACTATTGAACGATATCAATCGCTCTTTTGACATATGCCATCAACCATCCCCCATCCTGTTGCAGCCAATCTTACTCTTATCAATCGTGTTTTTTAACCTTTTTGATCTGGTGAACAGTTAAGAAGAGAGCTAAACCTAACTCCGCGAAATTGGACCTCGGATTTGCTAAGCTCGAGCTTTGATGTAAGATTACGTACCGGTTGGTATGCGGTTGAAGATGATTTCTTGGGTGTGAAGTCTTGTTAGAAAGTGTGGTGGTCTGGACGAGGGAGATGTTAGGTTAAGAAGACCATGGGTAGAGTGATATGATAAATGTGAGTGTGTGGGTTGAAGATCTAGAAGACATGCGGCTAATGGTAGATCTGGACCCAGTCTGCTATTTTGAGGAAAGAAAAAGTTGACTATGATGTTTGTAGAGGAGATACATTTTTAACATTATAGAATTCGATAATTAGCCCCTGGATGTTAATCTTTTCAGAGCTAATCTAGGATCGGTCTTAAAGTCTCTTGTATGCCCATTTGTTGATTTTTGTGAGTCGATTAGAGTAATGTTACCTTGAGTATTGTTTCTTGACATTCTCGTCACTTTTTTGCGAGCTTCATGTAAGGCCTATCATCAAGGCTCTCTGGTGTTATGACTTTGGTTCTTGGTTCTTTTGGTTCTTTAAATATTGATACTGAACGCTAATTTCAGAATATGTTCAGGATGAAGAGAGACTCGAAGAAGGTGTACTTATCAGGCCACTCCTCAAAAGCGGACTTGCGATCTGAAGATGTGAGGAAGTAAAGAATGTAGCTAGTACGTGATATAGCGTTACGGAGTATTCGAATTGTAGATAGACGACATTGGTATTCCTTCCTTATCTTTCAAAGACTTGATCCATTGAACATCAAAGTAATGCTTGACTTCCTTGAGAAGAACGAGGCGGTGAAACTCGAGGAAATCTGGTACCTGTTTTAGTAGAGCATTTGTGCATTTTTTGAGGGCAATAGGAATCTACCTTCTTATTTTGAAATGTATAGGTTTGTGAGAAACTATGACGCGAAATTTTCTGTCCTTGAAGTTCATCGGACTTGGTCACATTGAGCCGGTGAGAGCCTAGCATTTGAACACGGTATCTATGAGATTAATCTCTATAAACGTGGCGATTGTCGATGTAGGGTATCATAGAGCTTTGTGAAGTTGAAGGTGTAGCAGGGTCGACCGAATGACGAACTTCAGTGCAACCGTCTTGACGAATGGTATTTGTGATAATGACTCCCGCATTATCGGATCGAGCGATAGATTATTTGAATCTATTGACCGCATGTTTGGGATATCTCTTGATGCAAAGTCAGTAGATGGATGTCGGGATGGAATTGAAACTTACAGATGCACTGCAATTGATGGATCGATACGCATCGAGGGAGTCGATCAGATTGAAGTGGTAGACAGAGCTCTGTTGTGTCCCGATGAGCCATCAAAATCATGCGGGAATGGGGAATATCCGTAGGTATCGATGGGGTTACTTTGAGGAATGCCAAGAAATTGACGGTTTGGAGATGTACCCAGAGGACTACCAGTAGTAGAAGAAGTCCCAGTGATTTCACGGAATGAGTCTCCGCTACCTCGATGCGATGTATGCTGAAAAGAAAATTCTTCCCCAGTCGATTCCATACGATGCAGTGGGACTTGCGAACTGATGCGAACAGGGTGCAATATTCCACGTTGAATACGGGTTTCTAGTTGGTTCCATGCCTCAAGCTCGTACAACAATGCGTTTGCAGCTTCGGATCTTGATGATGAGTGATCTCTGTGAGCTGGTTTATTCGAATGCATAGGCTTTATTCCCACTGCATCAAATATTTGTCCCCTCATATCTTGTAATCGTGAGATGAGCGGTCGAATGGTCTTTCTGTCCCTCTTGGGCGTGTAGTAGACATGGACTTGATTGCCTCATCGCCAGATCTTCCAATCTCTGTGATAGAACGTGGCGTCTCTCAATTCCATCGTCTAGTAAACTTGGTTGGCCAGATATGGTTGATCGCGTGGTCGAGTTCGGTGGGTCTTCACCGTGTTGATCCTGCCAAGGATGCTGTAAGTCATGGAGGTGTTTGACTGCTCTAAGGGGTTGTGGGGGTGCTAATGCTTGTTCGAGTTGGCGAAACATGGGATAATCAACTCGATTCATCTCAGGATTCGACTCGAGAGGGTGTGTTACTCTTTTCAAGTTTGAGTAATAGGTGATACCACGTCAAGAAGACGAGACCAGCTTGAGATTGGAAAGTAATTCTTGATGGGAAGTGCTATAGAATGATTAGTTTCTGGCAGTATTCTTTAATGATATGATGAACCTTACCTCTCGCACTATGTTATTTGTGTCTGGACTACGGAGTGTTTTAAAGACAGATATTTTGTAAGTAGCTAGACTGAGGTATAACTCCATCTTGGTACGAAGTTTCAAAACTTGACCTCTCTCGAAGGGCCAAGAAATCTGCATGTGCAGAGTTTTGATTTGGTCGCTTGAAAAGTAACCTTCTTTGACCACATTGGTACTCCTTGCTTTGTGATCGCAGTCTGAGGATTGGCGGTTCTTATTGATTGCATATGTCTCGAAAGAAACTCGACACACTGTTGTGGGAGTTGTGACGGAGCAGCTGCCCAACTAGAACCTTCTACTAAACTTCCATCTCGGCGCTCCCAATCATGTAAGCATTGTATAAATCAGATTGAAATTTTCAAAGAAGTGTTTTGCCTCAACTTTGGCACTCATGGGTCCATCAGAGACGGCTCTCCATACATCCCACACCAATTTTAGGCCGGCGACGATGTCGCCTGCCGATCATCCAAACTCACTCATTATGTAACTCCTGATACGGTTGATAGTTCAAGGGTCGATATGCAAGAGATCTCAAATGGAAGAAGAATGAAATGTTTCAAAGACAAGCAAAAGTCAGTTAAGATGATAAACCGTTAGAATTAATGAAAATTACAACAACGTTTCTGGAGTCCCCAGAAAAGGCCATGACAGCATCCTGGGGGGTAGTTGAAGAAGTGGTGTGTGACTCCAACGTCTTCAACGTACCTTGATCCATGGCATATCAAACGACAGGGTAATTTGATAGAATGATGCAAGCTGGCGTGAGACGGGATGATGTTGTCCGAATCAATCTACGCCCAGATGGAGAAACGAGACAAAAGTAAGATGAACTTTGGACATTCTCCTGCATTTCCACAATTGATACTCAGCTCTGTGGCCATGGCTTGTACAGGGGTGACTGATTGTTTTCATGATGGTAGGTATTTGCATCGGTGACCATGTCGGCGAATTTGAATTGGCATCGTATGATCGATAAACCAGAAGCGCTTTGTATTTATCTCAAGTTTAGTGTTGGAATGCCATTTGTGTGGGCGGTGTATCAGATGATTTTTGGGGAGTAGAAATCTCTCAATGATGATTCTACATTGGGATTGGTATTTCACTAACATTATGAAACATATAGAATTCGAAGCTCTTTGGTACCAATGGGGGACGCGGGGTTAGGGTTTAGGAGAAGTTTTTCCTTTACACCTACACTTCAAAGCATTAGGGCTCTGGAACTATAAGTGCAATACATATCAGAATACTATGGAAATGGATAAGGTATATTGATGGCACACGAGCCTATGATATCAACCAATAGATACTGCTATTCCACATCTTAATATTGAGGAGCTGCGTATGGATCAGCCGGGATATCACGTACTTCAATGTCAATTGGCAAAGTTGTTAGGTCAAAGGCAGGATAAATTGATCTGAGTGTTTTTACTCGTTTCGCTGTATTGGAACTTTGTGTATGCTCAAGCTGAATCTCTCAATCTGATAAGTGAGTATGGCAGCAACCTGACCAAGTAACATTATCTCGCTTTCATCCCAATACTATCCGCAGTATCTTAAATTATCTCTCTCCCATGATGTGAATGCATATTTCCGAGCGTTTTGATCATGATAAATCCTCCAAATATCTGGTTTTTTCGAAGAATGTTTCTGACCTCTTCCTAAACTACCCTTTTGAAGACACCACTGGCATCTCAACGAGTGCAACCATTATTCCAATTCGGTAAGACGAGGTTGACGTGAAGAGAGTGACAAGGAATCTGGAAACCTCCATCCATATCGGACCAGAATCTCGAACTTTGGACTATCGAATTTCGATTTGAGATCTTCCTGGAGATTACAAATTGGCATATCATCATTATAATACTCAATAGACTTGCGATAATCGGAACCGGTAATTTCGACTGGGTTTGGAAATAGATCGTAGACCTCTTCAAGCTTGAAGAGTGTCAAGGTAGCAAGCTCATCCTGCTGGGGAAATACTCCACTTTCTTTCAACAAGTCTACATCCCAAGCAATATCCTCATGCACAAATATGAGCTCCTTCAATTTTTTCATAAGTCGTACTACGGAGCAAAGTCCCTCAAGATCTTCAGAGTCCATCATGCAGTGATTGTGGTCCACGATGACGTGACAATAATGTCGAAAATAGTCGTCTAGGAGGTCATCAATCGTCAGCGGATGCTCGAATACGGGGAATTGATCCCAGTCATGGTCCAAACCAATGGATAGACGCGACCACCGAATGTATTGATCCATTGCCAAAAATTGTATCTTTCCAGCGTCCTCCACACTGATCGATGACAAGAAGATGGTCAAGTGCTCTTGAAGTTTCCAATCCAGATATAGTGGTGTCAATCTGAGCGTGAATCGATTCCTGGATCATCGGCGATCGAACAAAGAATTTAGGGTACAAATGTTTGAGAGCTCTCTCCCAGTCTTTACAGACTGTCAACAGAGCGGGTAGCGGAGCAGTGGAATAAAATCCGTCGTCGATGTCTTCTTTGGGTCGAACTTCGACTAAACGCGGCTCGAGAGCCATTCTCCAGATTTTGTCTTTCATCTCCATTGGTAGCTTTGGAAACAGTGTGAAGCGATGGCTCTCCATAATCCATTCCCGTGATGAAAGGTCTCTCATGTTGCAGGTTGTTGGAGGGAAGATGAGACACTTGCGGAAGTGCTTATGGGAGAAACTTGATGGGGTACCAATCTGCCAGAAGTCAGTTATTTATTATCAATAGCCTGAGCTGGGGTATAACCTTACTTGTAAAATGGTAAGGCTCAGAGAAAAAGCTGTTCGCGCCGATTTAGAGTCGGAATCTCACAATCGCGGATGATGATTGTAAGTAACCCGAAAAGTTGAGCGTGGGAGTGAAATGAGATTTCTTCTCATTTTCCAGACAGATGTATTTGCGAGAGATTATTTTCAATATTATAAGGTTAAATGGAAGAGAGTGATATGAAGAAATAAAAAGCATGACTATATGATTGGTGGAAGACACATCTTAGTCAGACAAGCGACAATTCTGCCGAAGACGGTGTGACGGCAACCTTGCACAACACAACATCATCTCATCCAATTGATCGAGCATCACTCCGAGATTTTGAATAGCGCAACACTACTGCATCTCTATGATACCATGCGATATAATACCAAGTAGTGCCAGTACTCATGAGTCTCAACTCTTTTCAATTTGAACAACAAAACACGTCCCTCGCTAGCAGTTGCAGTATGGTGGATTGCAACTTGCCCAACATCCTGACTCCTACTCACTGTTGCAGAGCTAGATATCCAACTCCTTTCGGGAATTAATGAAACGCATTTGTACGCTCTTAGTTGGAAGGCTGCTAGGAGCGTTCATGATCCCAAGTCTGATGCTGTCGGGCTCAGGATCAGGTCCTATATTTTGTTACGCAAATATCTGTGAACATACACAAAGATGCTGCTGCAGACCAATATACCCAATAGCTAGCGATAGGTGTTGGGATATTGGAAGAGATTTACAAAAAATATGAGGCTTTTCTCAAAATTATGGCCATGGAGGCGAGAGGCTGCCCCAGTACCCCCTTCCACCCACATGGGACGGCCAGATGATAACTGCTAAACACCTTATTTCGAAGACTTCCTCGGTTTATTTATGTTTCGTGGTTCTTTGACTAGTTCCATTACTCCTTGTTATTTGGAAAACTGACCACTCGGTCATCGTCCCTTTTTCAAGTCTCCGAAATCTGGACTGCCCTAATCGAGCTGACCGAAGGGAAAATTGCATGCGCTGCAAGTAGTTGCGTGTTTTATGACTCAAAATTCTGTTCTGATTATATATTCCAGTATTTTCCTTGTATATTGTTGTTCAAAAATATGATGATTATTTTGATACCGTGATTCCGCACTTTTTTCACGTTGGTGTGGTACTTCTCGTCGATTCCTCTTTCCAAAGATGGGCGGCAGAAAGTCCCAAAACAGGAGGTAACCTTTGTGTCTAAAGCCTCTTGATGAACATAACTCCTAGTTGAGAGGGTCAACTCATACAATTGGGGATTGACTGTGGCATGTCAATGAGCAAGAGCCCTGCGCCGCAGTTCTCTAATCGGAAGCTCTCCAGATTTAGTTGCTGTTGCTGTTCAACCTTGACGCAAATTGCTAAAAATTGTATCTTAGCCTCCCAATTCTCTTGAATGCCATTGTTCCAGAGTTCCAACCAGTACCTGTTCAAAACGTGTGCAACGGTGGAACTACTCGTGGAAGCAGGCAAAATTCAGCGATCAGAGGCCAGGAGCTGATACTTGTCAATCTTCAGCCATATAATAAACTATGAAGTGATCAGCAAGGTCTTTGTTATCATCAAAATCTACCATAACGACATCTTGTCAATGTATCTTATGTAGATAAAGGCATCTTTGGATACGCATCTTTAGATTGATTTACCTTGTATTTTTGTTGAAAAGAAACTGAATGACAGATCCTAGCAATAAACAAGAAGAATGCTTCTTTGACAATCATTCACCTCAATATGTTTGTGGCTGCAACATGGGAAGGAATTTCTGATTGGCTCGGGTAGTGGAGGTTATAAGTTGATGGGTCCGTGCAATGTCAGTAATACCCTCTGATTACTTTTTATTATATTACTTCGAAAAGCTCCTGAAACATCAATAGACTTTTTCCTTCCACAAGTTCTGTCAGCGACAACCAAAAACTCCTTGAAATACAGGTTCAGGGAGAATATCAGACTACCGGTATTGTATCAAATCTGACGAGACAATGGATCTGTTTGTTTATGATCCAGATGTAAGAAACCCTCCATGATTTCTATCAAGACATTCTTACTGATTACTTTCTAGAGGTCCATATGGGACGGACCTTCAGATGATTCTCCATCTGCTGTCAACAAACACCGACCACTAGATGCCGCAATTGACCGACTTTTCCGAAAGAACAAGAAACTCGAAGAACACAATAGTGCACTTTCGAGAGAAAACGCAAGTCTTAAAAAACTTCTCGCTACCCACAACATTGCCTGGCCCGCCAACAAAAATTTGAGCACGATCGCTGCATCTGATTCTTCAACTACAAGGTCGAACCCCGAGCTACCACTCGAAGTGAAGCTTCGCATTATACGCTTTGCTTTGCAGCTAGCACCTCCAATAATTGACCCTGGTGTCAAAATATTGAAGTCCAATGTCACTGAGATGGAGCATGCTGAGCAAAAAAAGCTTCCTGTGCAATTTTTGCGACTATCTAAATTCTTTTACAACGATGGAAAGAGAACCTTCTTTGTGGACAACAGATTCATCTTCACTCAAGTCTCATCTTTGAAGTGGTTCGTCAGCACACACCCCAGATCTTGTGCCCAATTGAAACATTTAGAGTTACGGATTGTTGGAAAATACTACGACGACCAAGGTTCTAACAAAATTGTCACACTGGGCTTTGATCAGCGAGTTGAACGTTGGTACGCGGTGAAACCTATAAAGCGTATTCCAAACATCAGTCTTAGTTTGGACAGGTCTACAAAGCTATTGCTGGAGACAAATACTTGATTTTCTCAACGCACTACAGCTTCCCTGGCACGGCAGGCAACAAACTAGGTCAAAGGAGCATATAATAGCCTTCAAGAATTTAAGTTCTATGATGATTGACCTTGTGAACTTCACAGACAATCTTCCTGGCCCGGGAATCGACCTGAGGAAGATGACGAGAGAGACATTGGGTCCGATCATTGATAATTTGTATATTAGGGGTCAGCCGTTGGAGCGAAATGGGTCATTAGCCTATGAATGCTTGGGTTATCTTATGAGAAATGGTGGAATAAGAGGTTGCAGCATCTTACCTCACTTCATAAGCACCGTTTCAAGTGAATACTTGAAGATATTTATACAAGATGAGTCCTTCTTACCAGAACTCAAGTATTATGCCAATACATTACCAGAATCTAGAGAAGAAGGCGCCATTGAAAAATATGTCTGGAAGAAACTTCCCGCCACGTTTGGCGAATTAGAAGGATCGGAAGTACGATTCCATATTTCTAGTGGACTACCTGTTGAGAATGTTGAAGGAGACTACAGAATCTTGCTTTCCCGTCGAACGGAGTTGAATCTTGATGAATATGAGGGTATCTTTGGACATCATGATGTTGACCTCGACGACGATGAGCTAACGAATATTTATGGACCGACTCGAGACGGTTGGGGGCCCGATATCTTCACACCTTGGGATGTTGATGAGCATGGTGGTCCAGATACTCGGATATGTGCCAACTGTAGCGGTATGTATGGCTATTTTAATTCAGAACCGAATGTCCGTATCTCGCTGGAGCGAGATGGACATCTTGGGGCTGAAAATGGATTTGCTAGGGAGATAGCTGAATGAACGAGTTTGAAAGTATGATGGTTCTTACGATTAAAAAAATGGCGTTGCGAGGGGCGGGTTGCGAGTGGCATGTGGATAAGCATATGGCTTTCTTTACATTCGGGGTTTGAGGGACTATATTATGATAGCTGGTGTTTTGGTGATGATTTTTCATGATGAAAATAGGAGTTGCTATACAGAATCGAGTCACTAGCTCTTCCTTGGATGGGATTGGGTCTGCAAAAACTCGACATTAATTTTAGATTGATTCTAATACATATTTCGAATGATTTTGGATCGCTAGAAGTGACTATGGCGACGACAACAGTTGTAGCGCATTGCATGATTCGACACTTCGAAAAGTACTCCTAGCATATTGATTCCGGTGGTGACAATGAACTTTGAACTCCTACCAGCCCTCTTCACGACCCTTCTTTTAAATTGTCCCGTTTTTGTTTCTAGCCAAACTAACCAGAAGCATTTGTTGGGTCGATATCCGGGTTTCCACAAAATTTCGATTATCATATGGAAGTGGGCGACAGCATGCTATGCCCCTCATTAAAGATCATCCCTTCATCAACAAAGCGTGTCTTCTTGATTGAATGTACACTGCATTGCAGTTTCAGAAATTTCCGGGGAAGAGTCAAAAAGCCCTAACGTTTCCGTGATCAGCGGATTGGCGAGTTGGCGATTGACTATTCTTACTCGAGTCAAGGTTCATCAGTAGTTTGCAGGATTGTGACGTTGTCATGTTTTGTTGTCACTTCAACCCTGCCGTCACGAAAAAGAGTTTGGAAAAAAACTTCTTCGCAACGAATGAGGGTATAGTAACGGTACGAGAGATACGTTATTCAACATCACCCGCATTCAATTGAGATCCACAATGCCAACATTATCATTATTAATGTCTGCGGCATTCGCGACAATACATTCAATTCGAATATGGTAACGGTCTAATTGATTGCATAGTGACGCGCTTAATTGGTTGGAACGCGACGATAAGATTAAAGCTCCTGTCCATAATCCACTCTTTTTCTCGAGTACGGCTGCGGCCGCACTAAACTAGTCACTCACTCACTGTGACCAAAATTATTTTAACATCATCCACAATTTCTTCGTTCATTCTTTCTCTCTTTTTCAATTTACTTGTCGCAGCACAACTTATAATATCATACCAGTTACTCGATAAAAATGTCGGCAAGAGTCTGGAAGTTCCTATCGAATACAATTGGAAAATTGCAAAGTCCTAGACCTGCTCAACAAAATGATAATTTGAACAATTCGCCATCCCTGCGCCAGATCGAGTCCAATCCCGACACACCGACTCGTCACGGCAATAGCAACAATGTAGGAGAGGAATCTGCACACGAGGGACTGTCAACAGAGCAGGATGAGTCGGTGCTCGATACACCACTGAGTAAGAAGATCAGTAATATCAAAGAGAAGCTTGAGGAGGCGGTCAAACCAACTACGAAAAATGATGTTCAAGATGAAGTTCCGGAGGATGTCACGGCAGAGAATACAGACAACATTGAGACACAAGAGGCACCAAAGCCAACCAAAAGATCAGGAAATGGTAAACCAGTCGCAGTTCTACCTCCGAGACATGGTCGTAATAAGAGGGGAGGATCTGCGGAGAAGGTAGAGACATTGGCGCATACTGAGGAACCAGTCGAAAATACTCGCAAAACAAGGGGAAGAGGTAGACCTGCGAAGAACACAAAAACAGTGGTTCAAGATGAAGCTATTGCTTCTACTGCACAAGCAGAAGGTAACAGCATGGAAGAAGAGGAAACCGCAGAAGTCGCAGAGTCATTAGCAAAGAATGAACCTTCAGTCGACAACTCTACGAGTCGCAAACCAAGAGGAAGAGGTAGACCCTCAAAGCCGAAGGTATATGCAGAAAGCAACCAGTCGGAGACTGAGATCATGGCAGAAGAGGTAGAGACATCGAACAGCAACAACAACCCAATTGAAAACCCCAAGACCAATCGCAGCAATATGAAGAGACCATTACTTCCAAAAGTCGCAGATCAAGTACATGTACCCGAACCCTCCATTGATACACCTCCAGTCGCCAACAATAAAAGAAGAAAGGATGTTTTGGAATCATCTGCTGGAAGTGAAGAGCCTGAAATGAGTTCTTCTGCTAGTGTTTCTAATAAACGAAGAAAGACTTCCGCAAAGCCCGTAAGTTTCCCGCGCATTTGAATCCCCCCTTTGATCTAGAATAAACTACATATTCTAAGACAACACAGGAAGGACCTGGTATCCCACCTATAGGAACCACTCAAGAAGCCAAAGACGCGCGCAGAAAATATATGGACAGAGAAAGACAACGCAGATGCCGACAACGTAAGAAGGACAGGCAACAAGGATTACAAGCAGTCGAGAGAGAAGCTTTAGCACAGGCCAAAGATGAGAGAAAGAAAGCTATGGCTCGAGAGCGTGTTCGAAGACATAGAGATAATCAAAGACCGAAACAAGGTGTGGATGTTGAAACGAAGGTATCGGGTAGACAAAGAACGAGGGAAGAGGCCAGACAGAGGGATAGGGAACTGATTGCTTCGGGTGGGAGAAATGGTGCGAGCAATTCGGTGGAGAATGAATCGTTTAGCGAGTGAAGGATTTAAGAAAGGGGTATTAAAAATTCCTTGTTAGGGTTGTCCTTTATTTTGTTATATAATGCTCTCGAGGACCCGTTACTCATGATAAACGTCACTTACAACAAGGATCACAGTATTGTACCAGTCAAATTCCCTTAAATTTCAAAATTTTCGAGTGCTTAACTAACACTGTTTACTGATTTTGAGATGCATTTATTGATACCCTGATGATCATCGCTACTTTGCTTGAGACTCTCCACCATCGCTCGATATTAATTACAAGAATATAATAACATGATAACATTCACATCGAGGAGAATACACACAAACAATATGTAAAACTAGTCTCCTACCTACCTCCTATCCTTCCTCTCGCCTTTCTCACCACGCCTTATCTCAAGCTTCAAAATAATAATTCATAATAATTTACATTATATCGCATTACATTTTCAAGACGTTTTGAAGATATAAAAGAATAAAGATATATAGATTTAGAAGTGGGGCAAAAGAATCAAGGTAGATACACAGGGGATACATCGGTGTTGCGGCAAGGAGTTAGAGTTAAGTTCACTAGGTTCGAGGTACGAGGTGGCTAGGTAGTTATTGGGTGTCGAGTGGGTTTTATGTAAGTGACGTGATTTGGTGGGATATGTTATGGTTTGAGGTAGGCGGAGGAATTGGGATGGGATGGGATGGGATGGGATGAGATGGGAGGTGAGGTGAAGGGGAAGTGGTGTGATGTGAAGAACGAAGCGAGGATTTTGGGACTGGGGCTTTGGGTGGGGGATTTTGAGAAGAGGATGGTGGGAAGAGGGTTGGGATTCGGGGTTAGGGATGTGTTAAAACTTAAACTAGAGTGAAGTGAGTGATTGAGTATGGGTTAGATTAGAGTTCGGGATTGGATAAGGGAGTGAGGGAATAGGGGGGTGATGGAATGGGGGAGTGACGAATTGCGGGGATGGGATAATTGTATTGTCTGTTGAATGAGTTGATAGATGGGATGTTGGTGAATAGATTGATGGATTTTGATGTGATGTGAAGATTTATAGATTTATACAATATATAAGACCTATGAAATGATATAAGATTTCTGAGGAGGGTGATGTGATGGTAGTAGTGATATGTTACGAAAGTATAAGTGAGGGGATTAGCAGAATTATGGATGGATGGATGGATGAATAATTGAATGGATGAAGATTGGAGGGGGAGAGGGAGAGGGAGAGAGAAAGTGACAAGTAGAGATAAAAACTGGGTAAGATCTCGCGTATCTATTCTCAGATCTCTAAACGTATCAATCGATCACTCTTCTCTTGGCAGATACTAAAATATTCTGTGAAAAATGAGGTAATTGTAGGTGTTGTGTTATATTTGAGAGTTTGTAACAACGGTGCTATAATCTGTAAGATGCGTGATGTGAAACTCGTTGTTTGGGTGTTTGTTGGAGAATGGGAAGAAGTGAACTTTGGATGATTGGTGGACTTGGGGTAGTAGAAGGGAAGTTGGAGGATATATAAAAAAGGGGTATATGTAATCTTACTAGTTTAAAACTAGATTGATAATGTTATCACGGTCACGTATGAAAGAGATTGTTTCATTGCTTGGGTGAAGGTATGTGGAATATTCTTTTTGATTTGCTCATCTGGTTGGACAAAATGAGATGGGTATACTAATCTGGGGAGATCCAGATTGATATCGGAGTCATGTTTGCTTCCCATTGCGGTTTTTCGCTAGTCTTGCCATCGTTTCCTCCTTTGGTCGCTTCAGCGTGCTTTCGGATCGAGATCAATTTGGAAAATTATCCATCGCTGATGATTTCTACAGAAAAAGAAACAATCACCATCAGTTCATCTCGCGTCATCTCAACGATACCATAAGATTAGTATGGCACTTCATACGGATCTTTCAACCCGAAACGTTTTTTGAATCTGAAATTCATTTTCTGATTCTTTAATATAGTTTATTGTTTCTATATTTCAATATTTCAATATAGTATATTCTTTATACTTTTTTTACAATATAGTTTATGTAGTTATTGTATATCTTTTGATATTATCGTACAGGACAATAGCATATCACGATGGAGGGGAATGATTGGTCAATAATAGTATAAGTATAAAAATGTATATATCTCCTTATCTACAATTAGAACTAATCTCTTTTTGTAAAGAAAAGATAGAATTATATACTGGGTAATCCTTGGGATCCGATTATGGGAACGGTGATCAGTTCTGCAGCCGATTTGGTTATTATTATTCCGCTCCGGAGTGTCACGGGATCACCTCTGGGAGTATTCAGAAGCTTTACCGCTGAGCTAAACGCCCAAAAGACTAGGAGGTAGAACTGGAAGTTCTACCTTACTCTCACATATATAGCAGGACAGGACAGGACAGAAAGGGCTTAGTGTCACCCCGTGACACGGAGTATTCTATATAATGAATCTCTGATCATCATATGATCTGATCCACGTGGGATACAACACTGTTTCCGTCACAGATATTATATTATTTATAATCTATTTATTATTAATATTTATAAAATTCATTGATATATAAAAAAATCCAAATTTTATAAAGATTAAAGAAACTATTTTTTGCTTTTAAATCTTTTAATAAATAATATAAATAAAGGAGATCTATATTTTAATATTATCAAATAAAAATAATTATAACATAAATCTATATAAATTAAAATACAATGATAAAATATCAACAACTAAAAAACAGGTTCGCTATAAACCTAGTACTAAAAAAATTCCAATTATATCTGTTGGTTTGAGAAGGAGACGAAAGACGTAGCACCCTCGTATTGATAGGTCCTAAATTTCTGATTGTATTCTGTCTAAAGAGCTAGCTATGTAGAAAAGTAGTAGGCCTTATATAGGCACTGCTGAAGGAGCTAGTCTCTTTCGCATTCGCTCGATTCCTTTGATACATTAGTCATTGAATTGAAGTCATTCACCTAAGTTCATACAATATCTATAATATTATTCTATAAAAGCTATTTAATATAAATATGAGACTAAATAGTACTAAAAATAAACCATACTAAAAAATTAAAAAGTGAATTTCATATCCAAAAAACGTTTTGGGTTGAGAATTGCGTATGAAGTGCCATAGATTGGTATCCACTTTCTTCTAAATTCTTTGGAGATAGCCGAGCGAACCCTAGCCTCTTCATCAACGAATTCCCAGTCATTGGGATCTATACGACGAGCTTGCACGATTGACTCAATCGCCCATTCCAGATGACCCGACTGTTGAAATATCTTCGATAAGTTGAAAAACATCCTCGCATCTCTGTCTCCGTCGTATATATGAGTCACCTCTTCTTTATGATCCCCTAGCCAGGTATTGTAGTCCTCTTCCGCCTTGGCTATCAATGTCGCCTCAATGACTATCTTCTCGTGGTTTCCTATCCACTTTGTTTTCATTAGGTGAAGTGTGGTTTCCGCGCGCATACAGGCAATATGAAAAAGTATATCTGCGACATTATTCAGAGATGCCACTCCTAACCCTTTGAGTAAGCGCTCTCCTCGCTTGCCCGAGCATTGACTGAATATCAATTCTTGACACTGAGCCCATACCCTAATAGCTTTGACATATCTTTTCTCAACAAAGAATATTTGTCCCTGATCCGTCATGTGTTCAATATTGTCCTCGAATATTTGTATCTGATTTTCGCTGTACACCTCTGGCATTAAAGCGATTTCTGATGTCGCGATTTTTTGTAAATCTTTAGGTATTACACCATTGAACTCCAGGTTAGGGAATGCTTTCAGATGGGTGCGGTATGGAGCTATGAGTTCTTCTTGTTTCTTTCGAGTCAAGAAAGATTCGATTCCTCTCGGTGGGGAAAATAATGCATATACCGACCCGAACAAGGCAGAGAATCCAGAGATCTGTTCCGCATAGGGATCGGTCAGAGTCACAATGTGCTTGACATTCTCGTCATGTAGGTTGATTTTCCATCTAATTTTAGACAATACTCGACACAGATCGGGAATATGACGTGCTAATAGGATGAAGGTCGCACTTGGTTGAGGGCGTGATCTAGAGTTCCGATAACAAATCTTGTGGGTCAAGAAGGTTCCTTTGAAGTCCCTTGAAGTGGACGGGTCGGGTACGAGAAAAGGAACTTTGATCTCTAGAAGTGCAAGGGTACTCTGGTAGGGTGAGACTTCGCACTCAAATCTGACAAAGAGGTTTTTCATTCGCATCAAATATGTGCCCTCTTGGTACATTTGTCGGCATGTTCTCAAGATCTGAGGATGAATATGGTGTCTGGTGATAGCCACCTGATCAGGCGACGGTAGATCAGAAAATTGGCATGGAACCAACACTTCTTCGAAGTCACAAAGTAGAAGCTCGTAAATTTTATTGCGAAGTTCACCCAAGAGATCTTGAAATGTAAAAGGCTTCTTGACGTTCTTAAATGCTGGCAAAGAGGTGGATATCTCGATATCAAATGACATGATGCAATTTGGAAAATTGATCGCTGTTTATGATGAAAAGGATATAAAGATTGGGTAATTTCGCTTCGTATGGTAGAATGACTTGAAAGATGGTCGCAGAGTTGCCTTTTATTATCAAAGTGCGACTGTAATTGAGATATCAAGATGGTGTAAGAGAATCAAATATAGAAAGAAGATGAATTTCTGCGAGGAAGAGTTCCTTATATAGAGTGCGACAAAGATAGTACGGGATCATCTGCAGATTAAAGCTGCCATACAAATAAGCTTGGCGTTTTTTCACTTGCTTCTTGAGCATGATAGCAAACGGGAATATAATCAACGAACTCATCAAGAAGGGTGAGTTACCGTATCATGCATTGCTGGTGGATATAAATCGATTATTTACTCCACAAGGACTCTGCTACCACACTCAAGGCACTGGGACTAACATGCTGAAATTGCAACTCAATGTTGTCCTGTTCTATAGAGTTGGTCACTAGTAAAGCCTTGGTAGCCGACAGTATCCTAAACGCTATACCCTTCTAATCATCTTCTTCTCCTCCAAGAACTCGGGATAATTAGGCATGGCTCTCAAAGCTTCCTCAATTGCCTCGTGTGCACGTGATACACCCGCCAGTCGGCAACCGATGGCTTCTCGATATCTAAACTCTGCCAACTTGGGCTGAAATGGCGCCCAGCCTTCTAGATTGCAATGACTGTTCATATTGAAGGGGTCATCAACTGTACGCGATAGAACACGGAACAGAGCCTTTCGTTGTTGAATTTCGGCCATCTCCATTGCGTGGATGATGTATTGAAGACGATCCGATGAAAGATCAAAATATATGTTCATGAGTTGGTATATAAACTCCGGCTCATGGGTTTCATGCAACAATTCTCTTTTGATCATTGTCAAGATTCGTCGAATCTTTATTAAAGCTTGACACCAGATTTGGTTTGCATTTTCAGCATCTCCTATAGCGAAGAAATCATTTCCTTTTGCTTCCATGCTCTGCAAACCGTGAATAGTCCCTTCGAGATTGAGCTGCGGGGCCCGAGTAATTCCTGAGAGGACAGCGTCCTTCAACTCATCCGATATATTCCCTTTCAATTGAAACCCCATGAAACCCTCGAATTCAGAACGGTAAGGTGCAATGAGTTTCTCTTGCTGCTGCTCAGACAAGGATGACGAATTAGACACGTATTCGTCGTAAGTTTCGAGAATAGTAACGATATGAGCTGCTGACATCTCATCACAATACGGAAGCGTTCCTATTGCACTGACAACCAAAGCTGCACATAACAGTGGAAGATGACGATGAAGTAGCATAAATTTGTATGGCTCATCAGGTAAAACTCCTGAGGATTTTGTTGATCCACAGATCTCATGAGTCATTACGCAAGCTTTCCGGAAGTCTTTTTCTTGCTGCTCTGTTTCTACTCTGACCATTGGAATGTATTTTGAGAAGAAGCAATTCCTTGGTTCATCCAATCTTATAACACCGGTCACCATAACGAAGAGATTCGTTTCTCTCATGATAACTGTAGCCTCATGATTGATCTTTCGACATGTCCGAAGTATTTGAGGGTGAATATCATGCTGGAGCTTGGCGATTCGTATGGGGACAAGTGTGAGCCCATTGTCTTTCAAATCTTCTGGTGGATCTTCAAATGTACATAAAAGTATCTTGTAGATATGTTGACGAATATTGACCGGGAGATTGAGAAAAGGAAAAGGGGTCAAGCCTGGTGAGGGAGCAATTTGGATCATGATATTTACTCAAGACTTCACCTAAGAGGTGGAATGAATGTAAGAAGTAATTTGATGAAGAGAAAATGTAAAAATATCCATGATTATGTTGGAGGTACTCTGAAGTACACTTTTGCATGGAATCTGATTTGAACCACGATTGCGTAAAGAAAGATGCGACCTGGTGGAGTATGATAGTTCTAGGTCTATTACATAATCGTAATATTTTCATATCCCCAATTTTTTGACAGCTCATCGAAGCTATCGTGAAGAATTGGGTTGGAGCCGGTGAACTGAAATTATTCGATTGCTTCAAGACACCAACTTTGTCGTAAAATGGAAAACTTCCATGATTACGTTGATGTGGTAATTCTTCGCCTGTACAAGACAGAATTGTAATTGCTCTGTACCCTCTTCGCATCGAATTCTGTATCGTCTTGACACATCATCACGATGAGAGGCTTTGAAACACGACGGCAACAAAACAGGGAGGAATCAGTACGTACTCACCTACCCACCTGCCCACCTTTCCGATGAGTCTCGAGTTCTATAGGATTGTTAGAATTTGTCTCTCCCAAATCTCGTGGCTGTCACCTCCTTATATGACGTGGTGGATATGCCTCTCTTCCTAACTTCAATGGTTTTATCCATTCCTTTTGTCCCAATCCTGTTCATCATTCGACCTCCTTGCCCCCGTCTCGACGTATGTCTGAAAATACATCTCCGAAGGTGCAGGAATGAATCCAAGGATTCACACGTACGTCATTCAATGATGGGAGTAGAGTGTATCTTATCCTCGAACTATAAGACATTTCTCAGTCGAAGTTTCAAAGAGGCGAAAAAAAACAAGAGCTTTTGTGTTTTGAAAAGGTGTTTGTCTCAATCATCGCACTGACAATGGATGTTTGGACGTGAAGGCTTGGCAGATGCTTTATAAATAACCTTACACCGCAAGCTTCTTGAGTTTAATACCTGCTCGGTATATACTAATTGCCCTAAAAAAGCACGGGGTTTTCAAATACTTGGTTTCATTCGTGGATGAAAACCTTCAAGTTTTTCAAACCATCAATTTCATTGACAACATAGTCGTCGATGAACTTTCAAAACTTCAAAGCGAAAATGTGGAATCACATCTGAGATTCACAATGGCAAAACATTTGTTACCTAGCCATGCGTCGCATCGCTCATCGTCGCATGGGGCTTCCCTACATTCTCATCTTACCCCGCCAAATTGTCTTGAGTGATTTCATACCAAACTTTCAAACGTTGCATGTATCATGATAGTGACAGATTTTGATGTCACCTACAAAAGTAATCACGTTTGGATCTTCCATTTAACTAATGCACATCACAGCCGTCATGGATTTTGACAGCTTCCGTCTTCTTTTTTCCTACTTATCATAATCGTTACTTCTTCGGGATCCACGGTCATTGTGTGCAGGAAACTTTATTTTGACTTTCTAAGGTGCTGGAAACCATTGAAAGGTATAATTTGATTTACTTACAAACAGCTTGATGCTACAACAATTAATGAATAATGCGATACGATACTATATGGTATGATACGGTGCAATAATACAATAGAACACAATACTCTTACAATCAAAGTCTATGAGCAAGTTCCCCAAATACCCGAAGATTGTGGGAAAGTAGCTAACACCCTGACCTTGAACAGAAAAACATTGATACAAGAACAACACCAATAATATCATGGCAACTTGGGGAGCCTACTTTTCCTCCTATGTCAAGAAGACTCCTGGGATAACGCCCGCAGACAAAGAGAATGAACCAATAATTACACCCATCGTACCACTAAACACCAATACTGATGTGAAAACTATCGAGCCCTTACTCCTTGAGGAGGATGGTTCAGTACCAAACCCCAGCGAAGATGTGAAGAAACGTTTCGATGAAAAGTTGGGAAGTGTGGGGAATCTTGGGATGGGCACAGCTTCCATAACGAGAATGCCGACGTTAAAATCTAATAGTAGAGGAGCAAGGATGGCAAAGATGTTTGGTTATGGTACGCCGAAGGAAGAGAAGGTCGAAGAGAAAATTGTGGAGGATAAAGGGGAAGTGGATTCTCCTGTAGAAGAGGAAGAGGTAAAGGAGACAAAGATTCAAGCAGTGCCCGAGATGAGCAAGATCGAAAAGATAATAACAGAGAGAAAAGCTGCTGCTATCGGGTCGAGATCTGTTTCTCCAGAAAATGATCAAGCAGTCCAGGCGACGCAACCTGTGCAACCTGTCAAGCCTCTTGAGCCTTCTCAACCTGTGCAACCCGTGGAACCTGTCAAGCCTCTTGAGCCTTCTCAACCAGTCCAATCGCCGCAACCTGTGCAGCCTATCAAACCTAATGAACCTTCTCAACCTACGAATGTTCTGCGATCTCTTCAACTTAAGCAGCAGTCGAAACCTATCGTCTCAGTGCAAACGCAGCAGCCAACAGAGCCTGTTTCACCGACCGACTCAGATCCCTCTCGAAAATCGATGACCGAGACACCTAACTCCATGAGTCCAAACACACCTATTTCAACAAGGTCATCATTCAAGGGGGCAAGTTCCTCGACGAAACGGGCTTCCACTCGCAGTAAGACTAAAGCTTCAATATCTGCATTGGATGATCTTTTGGCTGGTTTTGGTGAAGAATTTATGTCCAATCCATCTACTCCAAAACCAGTCGATAATGAGAAAGGAGTTGAAAAGCCAGCTTTGGGTAAGCCAAGGAATCAACGGAGACCGAAGGCGTCAGTCTCAGCACTGGATGATATTATGGCTGGATTGAATTCGATGGAACCTGCGGTAGAAACTCCAACTACACGAAAATCGACAGAAGTGCGAAAAAGCGAGATGAGAAAATCTGGAATATCGACAACTGGTAAGGAGCCGGAACCGATTCCGGTAGTTATTCCTCCGGCTCCGGAAACTGCCAAAGCGGTATCAGAATTGCCAAAGACAGTCTCACAGAGTAACGCGCTATCAAAAAGGAAATCGAAAGCAGTGACGAGATTTCCAGTAGTAGTATCCGAAGTCACCAAAACCATTCCAAATGTTCCAGCACCTATAGTGACAACTAGACCAGTTCCTTCTCTCCTAAAAGATCAACTAAGTCCTCTTCCCCCAAAGACCCAAACAGTTACCACTATTCCACGCTCACCCATGATAAATGGTCAACTAAGCCCCATTCCACCTCAATTCCGTCTTCGTCCCAAGCGTTCCTTTCAAGATATGGTAAAACTTGCTACCTCACCTCGATTTGTACAAATTGCCGAACAGGCTATTGAAGCTGAAGCCGAAAGAAAATTACTTCAATATGAAAGACAAGCCGAACAAATATTACTTGAGAAAGAAGAAATGGAAGAGGAGAGAATGAGTATGGAAGAAAATTTGAGAAGAATGCAAGAAGAAGATGAGAGGATCGCTAAGGAGGCGAAAGAAATGCAGGCTTTCTATGAGGAACAGGAAAAGATACGAATTGAGACTGAAGCTGAAGAAGAGAGGCTAAGAAAGGAGAGGGAGGAAGTTGAGAGACAGGCAAGGATTAAGAGGGAGAAGAGAGAAGCGGAAGAGAGAGAAGCTCAAGAGGAGGCGGAGAGATTAACAGCACAGATTAGAGCCTTTGAGAGAGAACAGGAGAGGCTAGCTGAGGAGGCAGCTAGAAAAATGAAGGAGGAAGAAAGATTAGCGGAAATTGCGAGGAAAGAGGCGGTTAAGAAGTTTGAAGAAGAAGAGAGACTTGCCGCGATTGAGAGACAAGTTCAAAAGGAGAGATTAGAGGAGGAAGAAAAAATTTCAGCGATCAAGAGAAAGGCCGAGAGAGAGAGATTAGAAGAAGAAGAACGTTTGGCTGCCGAGGAGGCAGCAAGAAGATATGAGGAAGAAGAGAGACAAGCAGAAATCGAACGCCAGTTGGAAGAAGAGCGATTAGAAGAAGAAGAACGACTAGCTTACGAAGAACAACTACGCGAAGAAGAATTTGAAGAGCGTCAACGAGAAGAAGAGGAAAGAATTTATGCCGAACAAGCTCGTCAACGCGATGAAAGAAGAGATCGAGAAGCAAGAGAGAGAAATGAAAGAATGGAGGCTCAAATGAGAGAGGAAGAACGGTTAAGAGCTGAAAGAGATGAACAGGAACGATTACAAATGGAAGAGGAGGAAGAGGAAAGAAGGGCTTATGAAGAAAGAATGGAGAGACAAAGACAAAGAGATGAAAGAGAAATGGAAATGATGAAGAGAAGGGAAGAGCAGGAACGTGTTGCAGAACAGCAACGATATGATGCACAAATGGAAATGGAAAGAATGGATATGATCGAGCGGGAAGAAAGAGAGATGATGAGAATGCAGCAGGAAAGACAAGAAGCGGAAATGGATATGGAAAGAGAAGAAGCGATCAGATTACAGAGACAACAACAAGCGGATGAATTCCTTGGAGAAGATGACGACGAGGAGGAAGAGAGACCTTTGACGAGAGAAGAGGAGATGGCAAAGGCGGAAGAGAAAATCAGGATGGCGTTTGCAGGAATGGCGGCAGAGAGATCTGGGATGCCGATGCCGATGCCGGTGGTGAGGAAGGAGGAGGAACCACAGTTCATGAAGCCGCCAAGACAATTGTCACAGAGACCTTCGATTAAGGGGGGTTTGCCGGGAGGACCAAGGTACGGGATTACCTGGAGGACCGAGGACGGGAATGGGATTACCTAGTGGACCAAGAGGCGGTGTTGGATTGCCTTCTGGGCCGAGAATGAGGAGGGTTTGAGGAGGGTTTGAGGGATTTGAATGCATTGGGTGATGAATGGGTGGATGGAAATTGATTTTTGGGAGAAGGGAGAAGGTGTTATTGTTTTTAGTATTATCTACTTGCGTATACCACTCCTGCTCATGATGAATATATATGTTTTTTCAAAACCACCTTCTATGATACGAAACTGATATCCTATATTTGCTTGTTCCCACGTAACTACAATCTACAAATCTGGATACACCAGGATCGACGTATATCCAGCAAGGAAACGCTGCATGAGATTGTAGCAAGGTCATTTATTAGACAGTGTGGTAGGGTTAGTGAGAAGTGTTAGGTAAACTAAAAAGTAGTAAGGTCATACGAGATTTATAGGAGGGCCGAATCAGATGAGGCAAAGTGACAAAAATATATAACTGATTCCCCGAGGAAAGAGTCGAACTACCTTCGTGTTCAGACGTTAGTGGTATGCTGAGAGAGGGGAGAGCTATGGAAAATTCGCATATGCAAGGTTCTAAGAGTGATTTGTCTTGAGAATTGTTTTGTAGGGGGTTTGTTTTATACGAAGGGATGTACCTAGGTAGTATACAGCAATTGTTTTCTCATACTAGATGGGTGAGGCTGGGCAGTGATGAATGTTTAATGCCGTTGTTGTTGGGGGTTTGGCTTTGGTTCTATACAAGATTGTGATCTCGTTCAAACAGAGTCAATCAAAGTGGGAGACAAGAATCATTCCAACTTTTAGTTATATATTGAACTTGTAACATTGACAGATAATGATATCATATATCCTTCACAATAGTCCCGTCTTGAGCAATTAATATTTTTGAGATTTATATTCCGTGAAATTCACCCCTTATCTTCAAACCATATCGTCCGAATATATGATCATGTTCGTCATCTTGCATGCTTGTGTTCATTTCCAAATACGCCATATATCCGATTCCCTCTCAGTTGTCTCCGCAGGTTCCGAAAACTCCTTTACCCTTATTGTGACATGAAAACTTTCGATATTAACATTCCTCGCATGCGGCGATAATTCCTTCTCGATCCTTCTCCACTATACCTCCTCATGTTTCATCGGTACCTTTCCAATCTGCTCCGCAATCTTCTTCACCTCCGCTTCCTCCGTCTTATCAATAACATTCTTAATGTCAATCTCCTTACCCGTCCTCCCCTCCTTACTCTCCCCCTGTAACTGTTCACTCCTCCTCTGTCTCGTCTTCTCCCTCTCAATCTTATCCTCCCACGGATTCTTCTCTCCAAAATCCTTCACATACGGATTCTGTCCACTATACCCCATCACAATCGCGCGCTTCACATCCGGCAACTTGAACAACGATTCCCACGCCTCCCGCACAAGTTTGTATTCGTGCAAATCGTAGTCTTTGATGCATTCTTTTCCTTCCGGCGTCCAGAAGATAATTCGCAAGGTTCCTGGGTTGTGGAACTTGCGCACCTCGCCCGTCCAGGAGGTCTTGAGGGTTTCTTTCAAGGAGGTAAAACACGATCCGATGTAGGTTTGTTGCATCTCGGGATTGGAATCGAAGAAGATTATTGGACTTCCGAAATTGAGATTGGGGACTTTGGAGTTTGCCATGTTTTGTATGTCTTTTGTATTTTCGTGGATGTGGGATTATATCGTATGGTTGATGTTGGGTGAAGGTATAAGTAGTGAATGGGGGAGAAAGTTAATTATATATGAGATTTTGCAGAAGGAAATGAGCGCATTAAAATGTGGCTATGTGTCTATGTATGTAAGCCGAGGCCCTTGTATGATAGAGTGAGGCTAGAAAAAGATAAGGTGGAGTTTTGGAGTCTAGATATATCCGATGTTTCCCCATTCAGAGTCACACAAGCAGACAACTTTTAGATATGCAACAAAAGATTTAATTTCTTGAAGGTCACATGTCGTGGATATGATTGGTCTGGTCAACGCGGGAAAGAATCGATCACAGACTTGGGATGTTGCATCCGACGTTCCGAATTTTCCGGCCCTGGTGAATCCCAGTTCACCATTCATGCATTCTCAGGTGTGGATTCTTGGTGATGGGCTTTGGTCATGCAGTTGCGTAGTTAGCCATGCTTCGTCTAGTGTCGTGATGCGCATATGAGTGCCAGAGTTGCTATTTTTCCTGCAGCAGTCTGACGGGAGAGTCGTATTTTGGTAATTGTTTCATCACTTTAATGATTGGTCGATTGGTTGAATGGTTGAATGGGGATAGGGAGACACAGTAGATTGTCTACTTTCCCTTACATATTCTAGGTGAGTAGTAAAAGGTTTCTAACTGTTCGGTATTGAGGTGGATGTTGATTGAGCCTGTTTCCCTTGCTTGCATTGTCTAGTTAACTTGATAAAGCAATTAGAGACTGATCTGAGATTCATGGCTTGGGAGTCAAGATAATGTGTTTATTTCGTTATTTCCAACCAGAAATATGTCGTTAAGTACATGTATGTGGAAAGTTTCATCGTACCAGCAAAGAACTTCTATGCTGGATCGGCAAGATCAGATCAATGTCCTCGACATCGAGTGAGGGTTGGGACTACCTCAATATCTCTGTTCTTCTATTGTTGTGTAAGTCTAGTCACTGGACTCAAAACTCCTGTGATTAATCTTACACTCCGGTATCTTGTTTTTAGAGCAGGTCGAATTAAAAGTTCAGGTGAATATTCAACTCGCCTCTTCATTCTGCTATTTATTTTGACTTCGGCAAACAAGTATAATCTTTCGACTCTCTAGCTTTTCCATCTAGCTTACTAATGCGCAACTTTCTATTGATATTGTAACACATAGTTCATTATTGATCGCATGCTCTGTACTCCATATTGGATGCATACCTAGTAATTCGTTTGAAAGTCTCGAGTTACCGCGCAGGAAATCAGATCCACATGTTCGATGAAAAGAAATGTGCAGCGATATGTGATAGAAAAGATATTGTTGCATATCGTTGAATCAATAGATATGAAAGTGCGGGAAAACGTTGGTTGATGGTGTGAAGCCGGGTACCTGAATGTAATACTGGAGTATTCCGATACGAGAAAGGATGATAACACGAGCTCTGGCGAATATGGGAAGAAATTTGTTGACCTACGACATGCAGAATATATCAACGCGGCGAAATCGTATGCTAGTCGACGCTAAGCAATTCCACTTTCCATTGTCTCTTCGATATACAATTCTCCATGATATATAAAAGAACAATCAGATCCTAACCTGTATCCATAAGAACATTCATTATTCGAAAACTGAACATAAATTTCAAAATAAGGTTGGAAAATTAATGAGGATCGAAAATCTTTTGATCAAATAGAGTCAACGTGTATCGAAAGAAAAAATCCATAATTGTCAAACTATTGGTTTCTGTCTCATATATACTCAAATACTGTTATGAAGAGAGAATCTTCACGTACGAGGAATTAAAGCAAATGTTCATTTGTGATGTTAGATTACAAAAAGACCGCTTCTTGGATATATCCAAGAAAGTCTAACTTCAGTATTAAAGAATCCTGGGGCAACAACCACGATTGGTACACAACAGCCAATAGTCCTTACCCTTACGCACAATCTATCCCAGATCAAGAAATCAATACTCTCAACACTGCATCACGCAAGTGTCCGTCCTCCAGACGCGCAACAAAAATCTACATAGCCCATTCCAATCAAATCATTGGTGGATGGAATGGCCAAATGGGTTACAAGAAAAGTACCGCGAAGGGCATCATTTTTTGAGATGTGCAACAAATTATTTATTGGGATTGGTGTCACATGGTGATGAGGATATTGGTTGAAGGGAGTTTGGGGTTGAGGTGTCTAGGTTTGGTGGAGGATTAGGATTGGTTGGGGAGAAGATGGGTAGGACGAGAATGATGCTGTGGAACGTTTCGACTGAATGAGATATGCAGTGGTTTGTGTGAAGTCCTTAGCTTTATATGAAGTGGAGATGATTGGCTTCTTTGGTGGTACGCAGGGCTTTGGACTTCCGTGTCCCATCTGATACAATACTTAAGGGGTGTATAGACATTTCGGTAGTGTAACCCTCCAGCCAGATGTTGATCTCTTTTATAGTTGCACAAGAGATATCTATATAACATAGAAGGGTAGTCAATGAATTCGAGGGCATATACGCCACGGAATACATGCACCAAACCCTCAAGGCTGTAGTCTAGATAGGACTTGATATTTTGAAGCTGTGCATACACTGACTGGCCCAATCCATTAGAAGTGCAACAAATGCAACTCGGTCACAAGAATCAGCTGCCATTGGACCTAGTAAAAGGGGCGTAGTAATCGTACACACAAATTTCCCGGCTAGAGTCCACAAACACAGTCTACAGATCACAATAAAAAAATGCAGATGTGCGGATTTACAGACATGCAACAAATGCACGCTGATCACATGGACGAATAGTTACTAGATAGCATAGTACCACGAAACCTAACTCCCTGGGCTCAGGTATGAAAGTTAGTACTACCGCATTCTCTACATGTACTCTTCATCAACGGCTCTGCTCCACTTGCCCCATTGTACTAGATGTGCAACGAATATGTCTTCGTCACATGGAGGGATGACGATTGGATATTGAGAGGATCAGGTACGCTTTTCTTAGTAGGTATGACAATACTGCGCCCTTTTCAGTATTTCCAATAGAGGAGCACAGCATTGTGAAAATCGACTTTGTCATACCAGATGTGCAACAAATCTCTTTTCCTCACATAGATGTATAATTATTGGATATTGTGAGGACAGAGCACACTCTAAGCATCACAAGAATGTGTCCGATTTATCGCACAGGATGGTGGAAGTGTCCACCCGATTATCCGCATATGCAGCCTGCATCAGATATGCAACAAATCTTCTTCTAGCAAATTCGAATGAAAGCAGAGTTTGTGTGTAACTTTGCGGAGGGAATACATGCAATGCATATGCACACACCTCGTCTTGATATCCACGGGAAAATATCTATCATATTTCAATTTTCAAATGGGAAATATGTTTCCCTCACCCCCCAATGCTAAATCTGCATAGCCATAACTACAAGACCATCCTCCCCAAACACACAACATGTCCATCTCCATCTCTATTCCCAAGCCCCCTTCCCCAAAAATCATGTTGATCTCCCACTACCGATAAATAAATCACTCACACACGGATCCAGATCCAGCCCCATATTCATATTCGTACGACTCTATTTCTGACGTGCCACACCGCGCCGCAAACTTGCATTTTATGATATATTCCTGCATGCAGATGTGCAACAAAGGGGTTTTAGTTCTGGTTGTGGGTTGTGTGTATCAATTGTTATTTTATTTTCTTTGGGGGCGAGTTTGTGTGATGCTTCTGTGGGGTGAGTTGAGTTTTTGGGGAGTACATGGGACTGCGAGGTTTGATGGAGATGGATGGATATGTAGTGAATTTTGGGGGGTTGGGTTGTGTGAGAGTGTCGGAGGGATTGGAGTAGCGATGTGGATTTATCTATGTGATACATTTAATGAAGATATTAGAATGGGAAAGTGCGTACTGCAAGGAGATCATTCCTTAATTCAGATATGCAACAATTCCTCTCTCATATCAGTGTTACATCCCCCGAGTAGGAAAATGTAATGTAATGTAATGCAAGAAATATATACCAACTTTGGTATGCACACTCGCTTCTATGCACACCGTGGCCGGGTACGTGCATGAAGATGTGCAACAGTTGGGATTGTTTGTGTTACTTGAGGTATGATTGATGATTGGTGGAGGAAGACTAGACTAACCAGACTGATTAAAACTCATTGGGAGTGTCGATTTGTGAAAACTTGTGGCTTTGGTCATGATATGATATGATATGGTATGGTATTCATTTACATCGAGTAGCACTGTGCGATCTAAGCATGGCGTAGAGAATTCCCGAATTATCAAACTCGTGATATTGAGATGTGCAATAGTAAAATGATATTCGCTAATTACTCTATAGTATCTCCTTAAGTGTACAAGCACATCACTGTACTACATTACATCTATGCTGCAGACTGACACATATACATGAACAAAACTTTCAGTTTTTGCTACAACAACACAAGTTTACTGGAGAAATGATTTCAGAGTCTTTGATTCCTGAATATTTGGTGAGAATGGGATATCTGAGTAGATACTTTATATACGTACAATTATCAAGCGATATTTTTACTTCTAGATACGTAGGTATTCTAGTCAAGTCAACTTAACTCAACGATGTGTACTTACTCATACGACATAGCATATATTTATAATATCTCAAATAGCACTTTCTTAATTCAGAATCGAATATAAATATACCTACCTACCTAGTAGTAAAATTTAAACAGTCAATAAACAAAGAACAGAAATATCAAATCGCCAAAGTCCCATACAAACACAAACAAACAAACAATCTCTATCCTATCATTCAACTACCCACTCAAAAATCTCAAAATTTAGCAACCCTATAAAAATAAAAATAAAATCTAAAAAGAATCGTATACCTACCAAGTATCTATCTACCACCCATCCCGATAATCCCACATAACATTCCCCAACCCAACCCAACGTAATATAACACAACCTCGGAAAATCCCCACTCCCAAGCCGCGATTTTTACCGCGACCAGTTGGAAGGGTTTGAGGTATCCGAGGTATCAATCTACCTATAATAAGGTAAGCAACGCGAAGCGATGAATTATTTAGATATGTCATGTAAATGTGGCTAGATTTTCAGCTTGGGATTGTGAGGTTATGGGATTCTGTGGGATGATGTATTGAAATTGTTTGTTTGCTGTAATAAGGAATTGTAGTGGTGGTTATTTAGAGACTATTGTGGAAATATGATTGATTAAATAAGGGTATATAAATTGAAGACTTGTTATGCGAAATAAAGTGTTGAATAGGAAATCTATTCATGTAGCTATATGTAAATAGAGAAAGGAATAAAAAGTCTGAATACCTTGACATACTTATATATTTATATACTTATATACTTACATACTTACATACTTACATACTTACATACTTATATACTTACATACTTACATACATACATGCACCTCACACATCCCATCCCCATAATCATCCCCTTACCCATCCACCCCTCCCCCTCCCCTCCATCCTATCCACTCCTCCTCTCCGCAAACCCACAGACCCTCCCTTCACCAACACAATTTGTTGCACATCTCAAATTCCTGAGGGTGTAGAGGAATTCCCACTCATGAAGCGGTGTGCAAGGTCTACACCCCATCTGCACACGCTCAACACCTATTACATGTACCATTTGCATGTATGATTTTTCAGCGTGGCGGTCGGGTTGTGTATACGTGGCAGTTTGTGTTGCTTTTTTTATTGCGGGATGGGTGTGTTGTTTTTATTGGGATGGATGGATGGAAGGGTGTGGTGTAAGCGAATTTTGGTGTGCTGGTGGGTGTGGGTGGTGGTCAGGCTTAGCTTACCTGCCCAGCCTCCCAGGTACGGATAGATGTGTGAGAGAATTTCCGCCCCCGCTGAGATATTCCGCTCCTGCACCGAGGTATGATTATAATGTAATATTCATGTGACAATTATGTAAATATATTTATTCTTGTACCCCAATACTACAATTGATTTAACATCAATAGATAAATGATGAAAACAAGATATCCAGACTTTAGTTATCCAAAATAATCACGTGGTGAAATGGAAGATAAAATTCTAGGACCTTATGAGAGGGAAAGGACTCTGGATTCAAATGCTTCCCTCAATTATTAGATGTGCAACAGACCCGTGATTTCTCAAATTAAATCACGACGTATGATGTCGAAGGCTTGAATCAAAACCAGAATGAGATCTTGTCATTAAACTTACCGAAATATACAAATCTCAGTCTATCTCTTTATCAGGCAAAACGGAACGATGAATCCTTCCTTAGATTGAGAAGAAAACACTGAGACTTTGAGGGGTCCGCTTGTTTTAACAGTACGCGATTTCTTGAGAAAGTTCAAAGCGACTCGAGAATTTGTAAATCCAAAGCCTTATTCATGGTCTGGAACCTTTTGAAAACTTCCATCGGTTTACGATATATCCAACCCCGCGACATTTAGAGGCTCGGCGAAAAATACGATCTGCAACAAAAACAACAAAGTACGGAAGAATATCGGATGAGATGAAGCAAACATCGTGGAGAGAAGTTTCAAAATAACTCTCTGATTGTTTCGAGTCGGTTGCTTGCATTGAATTGAAGGGAAAGAAACGCGAGTCAAATAGAATGGTGGAGGAATCGAAGAGAGAATATCCCCGTGAAAGATACTAGGTACTTGGTGGAATCAAAAAGGCTACTCCATCAATTGAGATCAACCAAAACTCCTGAAACCATCGAGTATAGAGGCAAACTACCAATATCATTTTCCCGTGATCAACAACTTTGGAAGGACGATCAAAACACCAGATCGTCACACTCATAATTCCAGATGCGAGATATTGTCAGATTAGATCAAGTTAATTCCATCATGTAACCACGAATGAGCCGAGTCAAAACCACAAGCTGGGTGAGTAGCTGGGTTATGAACTTGGGTGTGATCTCCGGTAAGCTCTTTGCTATCATCATTCAAGATCTTGAGGATTTCAAGGGGTGTATGGTTGAGGTTAAGGTATCGTCGCTTGAAGATACAATGGTACATATCTATCTAGGTAGTACCTATGGATGAGTAAAGGGCGACGTGTTCAAAAGTTCTGACTCATTTTTGAGAACCAAAGCTTTGAAACAAGAGATGGCCTGATTCGATTTATCGTAGGCAGATACTTTTGAAAAGACTTGGTGGTTTCTCATCATGATGTTTGTTTCCACGGGATTGTTGAGTAAGCCACAGTTCTCGACGCGTTTTTCGTGTAAGCTTCGAGATCTCGAAATGCCAAGATTTGAATGACTGGCTGTTGTGTATCAAGGATGTTTCTCCTGTTCTCCTGGTCTCGAATTATACAAATTCGTAGAGTTCGTAGAGTTCGTAAGAGAAAGATATCAAATACCTTGAGTAAAATACATCAATATCAAAAGATTGACTTGTTGTTCGAGATACATACCTATCCTATCTAGATGAATATTTTTGATCAACAATAAATTGAGCCGCGTTTTCCACATGATATTCTGACGAGGATGATTATGACATGACATGATACTAATCCCATTCACAATTAGTCAAATTTCCAATCCTAGTCATTTTCAAATTGTGTACATAAATGACCACTTCAACCCCGCTCAAAAGCTTTTCATTTCCATGCACATCACATATCGCATATCGCACATCGCACATTGAAGAAACTTTACCTCGCTCGCTTCCATTGTTTAGGAATTTTATGGAATTCTCGGAAGAATTAACCAATAAGATTTCGAAGAGATATATGAATTTGATCAAAGTCGACCAATCAATTTATCTATTTATTTGCATTCGAAATACTTTTTCATTTCTTCTTTGAGCTATTGTCGTTTACTAGCCTTCCTCGGTCTTCCTCTCTTACTCTTACTATTATCGCCTCACTCTATCTCACCGCTTTACGATAAACGAACTTTGAAGTCTCATCACAAGTTGATGAAGGAGAAGCTTGAAAGTCTTTGACGAAGAGATCTAATATCCCATATCCACAAGTAAAGAAAGGAAGGAAAGAGGAACAAAGAAGAAAGCATACACCTTCATCATCCTTTTCGCCTCCTATATAGAACCGAGGTCCTTTCCTTCAAATCAAGCAGGGTGATACATGATAACCATACAGAAAGAATCTCAAGAGCAGATTGGCCCAAAGCTATTTACCTCGTACTGTTTGTACTCGTAACTCGAATTGAGTTCATTACACAACCGAGATATATTTCTTTCTGTCAGTACAATACAGTACAGTACCGTACCGTACCGGTACCGGTGTATATATATATACGGTGTACCTACCTAGGTATATACATCCAAGTCTTCTAGCTGGAGATACTAACTTACGGTCTGATCCGTACTAGATACCATTCACCGTGGCAGAAAACAAGAGATCTTCCTATCAATAATCCTTCTTAAAGAGAAGGGAAACTCTTTTAAAGGAAAGCGAGAGGAAGACACCAAGATTTATTCTTTCATTGATTTGATTCCAATCCGAGTTTCCTGGTCATCACTATTCCACCTTCCACCTTTCACCGTGTTAGCCTTGCATCAAATCGGATAATCTAACCTGCTTGACCTCTTATTTCAGTTCACCCTATACCGAAACATATTAAACGTCCCAAATTATCCCTTTGAAAAATTCATTAAAAGGAAGAGAAAAAGGAAAAGAGAGAAATTAAGGAAAGAGTAAAAAATGGACTCAACCTATACACCTCAGTCTCCCGATTTATCAGGTTTCTTACCACCTGATTCCCATACCAATAAACATCAACCTTCCTTTCACCCATTCATCGCTTCATCGGGAACATCATCATTATCATCATATGCACCTAGATCACCGGGGATTCCTCAATTTGGTAATGGTACTATTCCTATTCCTACATCCACATCGACATCGACATCAACAACGACGTCCAGACTTTCTCAACCAATACAACATCTCAATTATCATTCGCATCAATCACATCAATCCAATCATCCCAGATTCACTCCCAACAATCCGGGAAATGTAATGAATGAATTTCCGAATTATAATACATTTCACACCACAAATCAATATATGCCACCAATTCCCGCATTACCACCGACACATTCTTTCGGAAGTCAAGGAACAACTTTAACCACAACTGCGCCTGCTGCCACTACCACTCCTGCCACTACTGCGACAACTCCAACCACGGCTCCACAATTTTACTACCCCTCTCATTCGGATTTGGTCAATAATAATAACAATTCACCCATCATTACATCTTCTTCTACTCCTTCTCACTCACAACCACAACCACAATCACAACCACATACACAACCACAATCACAACCACATACACAACCACATACACAACCACATACACAACCACATACACAACCACACACACAATATCTCGATCAATTTCAAAACACCGAAGCGTCATTATCTTCTCAATCCCCTTACGACCATCGCATCCCTTCACCATTCACGCTGGGTAATGATCCAGTAGAGATATATCAGTACAACAATAACCCTCAAAAACCTCTCTATCACGAATCATATACAAATCAACTTGATACAACCACGCGACAACCTCGTCAATCACGCGTCAAATCTCAACCCATTACCACTGCTTCATTCAATCAATCTCACACTCCTCAATACCAACCCAATATGTCTTTCGCCATAGCACCTCAACCCCCCGCGGCTCCTCTTACGAATAAAAATCCAAACCCAGATGGAATAGAAATCCGCACAAAGTTTCCCGTCGCCCGCATAAAACGGATAATGCAAGCCGATGAAGAAGTAGGAAAAGTCGCGCAAGTTACTCCGGTCGCAGTATCGAAAGCCTTGGAACTTTTCATGATATCGTTAGTACAAGGCGCGGCAAAAGTGGCACGGGAGAAGGGAGGAAAAAGAGTTACGGCAGGTTGTTTGAAGAGAGTGGTGGAGGAAAATGTTCAATTTGATTTTTTGAGTGAGATTGTGGGGAGGGTTCAAGAGGTTGTGCCGGCGGCGAAGGAGGAGAAGGATGGGGAGGGAAAAAAGAGGAAGGCGTCGGCGGCGAAAAAGGAAGAGGGGAGTGAGAGTGAAGTGGAGCCGGAAGTGGATGCGGGTGAACCGAAGAAAAAAGGAAGGGGAAAGGGAAAGGGAGGAAGGAAGAAGAAGGTTGAGGCTGAATCTTGATTGGGAGGTTCTACGGAGACAAAAGAATACAATTGCAACATAGCCAGTGTGCGAAATCAATACTTAAGGTTGATGGGAGATCAGTTTGCTTTTAGCTGGATGGATGGATGGATGGACGGACGGACGGGCAAATGGGCGTTGGATGGGTGTAGCATATACATATCATACAGTACATAAAATACATGATGGCGCTACGCGGTGGACTTTTCGATATCAAATTCGATAATTGAGGAGGATATACTTGTGCCTTGGGACTTTGTGGTGCTATGATCTTGGGGATTAGCATGATTGATTAGCTAGAGCTACATTGGTTGGATTTATATATTATACAATTCTTCACTACTTTTATGTTTGGTTTGGCTTGTTTGAAGATTTTACTGGCGAAATGTTAGTAATTGTGTTTTTTTCTCTTGCTTTGTTGTATTTGTGTTGATATGTTTATAGAATATCTGCTTGGTATTCGTATCTGCTTGGTATCTGCTTGGTATCTGCTTGGTATCTGCTTGGTATCTGCTTGGTATCTGCTTGGTATCTGTATCTGTATCTGTATCTATATCTCAATCTCAATCTCGTAGTCTTTAAGGAGAAGGGAAATAGTGGTTCTCCATCATTTCTTGAAGTTACAGGGATAGATATTAAGACGCTTTGAAGAGGAGAGGAGAGGAGGGTTTGAGGGGAGGAGGGATGGATGAGGTGAGGAGGGATGGATGTATACTTGGATTTGGATGTACTTGGATTTGGATGTACTTGTATATGTGTGAGGATTGGTAGATGGGAATAGGAATGGGGATGGGGGATGGGGGAAAGGGAAGGAAGGGGAGGGGAGGGGAGGGAGATAAAGGTACTGTGTACTCTCTCTACCTGGGGTGGGAGGTGGGGGGATAATTGATGGATGGATGGATGGATGGATAGATGAATGGATGAATGGATGAATGGAAAGAGTGGGGTGGTTGTGATAGTTTGTGTGGTGGTTGTGATAGTTTGTGCGGTGGACTGGGTTGGAGATTTGGGATTGGAGATTAGGGATTGGAGATTGTGGGTTGGAGATTGGAGATGGATGGGGATTGGAGATTGGATTCGAGTTGTTGGTTGATTTGCTTTTGATTTGGTTCGACTTGATACTGTAGGAATGGCGATTTTTGCTGGGGAGAGTTTGCTGGGGAGAGTTTGCTGGGGAGGAAAGGGGAAGGGAAGGGAAGCAATCGAGGAGTGTAGTGTAGTGGAGTATTAATTAGGGAAGAGAAGGGAAGGGAAGGGAAGACAAGATAAGATAAGGAAAGCAAGGAGAGAGATGAGAGAGGTGAGAGAGATGAGAGAATATGATATGTATATATGTATATATGAATTGGAATTGGAATTGGAATTGTGTATCTCTATAACTGATTATTATACATACATGTGTAACTCACATTTACGCCCCCCCTTCTCTCTCTTTCGCAGATTATTACATTACGGAAGGGGGGCTTGGTTGGTTGATTGGTTGTAGAGAGGTTTATGATGAGTGGGCTTGAAAGTTTGAAAGGGGAGCGAGAGGCTTGGAAATGAGGCGAGAGGCGAGAGGCTTGGTGTTTTGCGATGGGGAATCGAGGGAGTAGAGATTGCAGGTGGGGGTGTGATTTGATCTGTGGAGTTGGAATTGGAGTTGAGGTTGAGAGCGGGATAAGCTTAGCTTAACTTAGACATTTGATTTGATGGGTTGGATAGAGGGGGGATTAGAAATTTATCTGGAATTGGAATTGGAAAGGGGAATGGAAAAATGGAGAGGTACTGTGATGGAGGATTTGATGAGGTGGTTTGATTTCGGAAAGTGAGTTGTTGGGACAAGGGATGGAAAGATGGTGAGGGGAGTGGTTTCTGGTGGGTGGGAAGTTTGTGCGAATGTGCGAATGTGCGATGATAATTCTTGGGAATGGGTCTTTTGGATCTGGATTTTTGGATAGGAGGGGAAGAGTGGGAATGTTTGGTTAGGGAATTGAGGGGCTTGAGGATTGGAGGGAGGATAGAGGAAGGAAGGGTTTAAGGGAGATGGAGATGAAGAGGAAGAGGGAGATGGAAAGAAGGTGTGGATGAGGAATAAGTTAGAGATTGGAGGCTTGAATTTGGGATAAGATTTGGGTGGGGGTGGGCAGTGAAAAAGATGATAATGATAATGAGATGTGATGTGGTGACAGCAGTAGATGGAATCTTGGAAAGCAGCGATGAGGATCCTTAGTCGGCGAGGAAACGGCGGCATGATAGTTTCATGGTTTGATAGTGATAGATATATTCTAGTAAATATTATTGTCATTTACATCACATCATCACTTCTACTATCTATCTAGGAAATAAACCTCGCATATCGTTACCCAAAAACTAACGAGTAATTTGCAATTCTCAAATGTGTTTAGTGAAGTTAACTATTATGAGGAATGCATGGTACGCAATCCTTGTATCTGAGTTTGATTGAGTTTGTAGTTCTTGTTGGGCTTGTAAATGAGGAGGAAGAGGGGATACTTGTATGCGATGGGAGATTATGATGGGGGATGAGGGTTGTGAAATGGCTCAGTGAATGGATAGAGACTCGGAGTATGTGGAAAACTTTTGTATGGGCGCCGTATGGTATGGAATATTGATTCGTTACATATGAATGCGAAAAGACTTGAATTCTCAAAGTGAAGTCATATGGGATTTGCATGCGTGGAAAGTGAGCAAAGAGGGCAATATAAAAAGAGGAAAGGTTCTAGATTTGTTTCGATATGAGGGGAAATAGATGTCGCCTGGAAGGTTTCTAATGCTGCGGTGTGCGAGAGGTTGGATCCAAGGTTTTTCAAAACGCAATAGAAGGGATGTCGATGTGGGAGTTTGTGGGAGGTGTGGTGTTGAAGGAGTTTGCGAGATGAGAGGAGATGAGAGGAGATGAGATAAGATGCCGGCTGCAGTGGTGGTAGTGATGGCGGTGACGATGGAGATTGAGTGGCAACAACAGATCAGTAAGTCAAGTAATGATAGAGATAATTTATCTACATATTCCCTGATGATAAAAATTCCAGACGGTGATAACATTCCAAGCCTTGCATCGGGAGGCATATCTTGGGGTCAAGAAACGTATAATATTATGGAATATGGAAGGGAATTCAAGATGTGAGAGGGTTCCATAGCTGCATCAGGAGTTGGAAGTTCTTGATCCCTGCGAATCCCAGTTTCTTCATTCATGTATAGAGTATGGTCGAAACGAGAAAGATTTATATACTTCCTTGTGGGAAGTTGATTTGAAGAGGGTGGAGGTACGGGGGAGGACTGCGGAGTGCGGAGTGGTATTGAAGATGATAGTGAGATTTGCCTGATATTTATACAATAGTATGGATTGTGAAACATGAGGAGAGGTGAAATAAGAACACCCGTGGGCAGAGATGTTAAGCGAATTCTCTAGCGGATGTCAATCATTTACTGCAATATTAGTCCCAAAATGAATACATTGAGTAATTGCTTACACATCTCATGTCGGAGACTGTTGAAGTGTGAGTATAAGAATTCTCTTAGTATCATTCTTTCACTCATAGGTACAGATTTGCAGAGGAAGAAAACAAAAGCACAAGGTAAACCTTCGTCGTCAAGATATCCGGGTTGGTGAGAGAAGCGTAGGAAGATTATATCAGGTGTGAATATAGAGTATGGAGGGAAAGATGAAGTGGGTAGAATGAGCTGATTAACTTCCATTGACAGCAAATGAAAAAAGATCGGTAATGAAAAGCTTCGTTGAGAATGATCAGTATTCACCTAATCTCCTATCTACTAATGGTGATGCGACTGGAAAAATCGCCATTGAGACAATGAGAATCTTTGAATGAGGAATACTGGTTCTAGAACATGAGTTGAAGAGACTAGGTAGTATTTTATGTCTCCGCTTTTCAATGCGAATTCCTCGTACGTACGCGTTGGACATTCGGTTCTAGTCCCAACATTCTACATAGTTGTTGACAAATGAAAGAAAAGGCTAGATGATGGTTTATATATGTGGGAGAGGAGAATTTCGAGACTGGAGCTCTACTATACGAGTGGACCAGGCAGTGTGATGGGTGTTATGGTGCAAAAGCACGGTTATCTTCTTTTCACATGCTGAAGTAGTGAGGGTATTCACTTATCAAAACCCAAGTGCCTACAATATGGTGTGGATTGACTCCCACACTCCACTACACAATTTTTGGTTCCCACATAAAGACTCTTGGAAATGTATCTAAAATGTGAATAAATAGGGACTCTCATAGTGATGTCGAAATATCAAACCTAGTTCAAACTGAATGACGTGCCTCTGCATGTACCAAAAGATCTCTATCGGAAGCAAGAAGTGCTTTTGGTACAAGACATTCGTCAAAATTATATAAAGGATGAGAACTTAGACTTAAATTTCGCTAAGATATGGCGAGGTTAGCAATGACTTGATATGGTGGTGAAAATGGAGGCGGGTGGTGAGCGACAGTATAACATGTTTAGGAATCAATATTCCACTACTTGCCGCCTTGCGACAGTGACCATTTACATTGCCAATGAATATTCTGCAATATCCCAAGTCAACTGTTGAGTACATATTTGTCAAATAATCCAGGTAGAACCCCGACACAAATCTTTTCTGCCCTCCAATCTGGCGCCAGCAGTTCTTGCCAAATTCTAGCTCCATAATGCTACGAGGTGAACGTCGAGTTGCGCAAGTTTAATTTGGAATGAAACCATTGGCCACTACTATTTATATTGAGCTTATAGAAAATGAGTAGTACTGAGTCCGAAGTTTTGCGACTCTAGATAAATGTGACTACTCGATTATAGAGGGCTACAATATGCGCAAATATTTCCTCTCAACGAGGACTGAGAGCTATTGTCTACAAGGTATCACGCAGCGGCCTAGAGCTAAATAGATTTCAATGAACACCAGAAATGCCTCATGGAATATTCTCCAGGTCAAACTATCCGCAGTGTCCTATTATCGTATTCGCAATCGCCAACCGCCCTACCCCACCAAATTTCAA